CGATTCAAAAAATGGCAGAAACATTACGAAACTACACACGGTGTTCAATTCTACAAATGTGTCATTACAGAACACGAACAAGTCATGAAGACGCAATTTAAGATTGAAGACACGCCGACATTAGTTTTTATTCGTAACGGCGTCGAGATCAGTAGAATCGAAGATTTCGACGAATCGAACCCTAATAAAGTGGATCAGGCAGGAGAACACGAAGAAAGTGCGGATGAAAAACGGCTCAAACAAAAATTGGATGAATTGTGTAAGAAGAGTGGTTGATCTCGTACAAATTCGATTTTCTCTGCGTGAACAAACACCTGTGAGATACGTTCTTTCTGCAAAATCAAAAAAGTGCTTTTATTGTGTGTGATGTTTGTCTTTCAATCAAAATAAACGAATGCTGCCTTTTTATTTCGTCGTTGCCAACGAATGTCAATGTTCAATTCTAAAGATGTCTAATTAGTAATCGAAGAATTGAGTTCATTCAGTTCATATTGCATTTGTTCAAAATGCTTGACAACATCTACATATGAAACTCCCAACACTACTTGATGAAGAATTGGTTGAGTTTATAATAGAGAAACAAACCAAAACAAGTTTGAGAGGCTTATTCGATCTTTTCATTAAGAAAAGAGTATCATCAATAGATGCAATGGTAGTTGTTTTCAATGGAATGAGGCACTCTGATGAGAAAGAAATAAAAAATATCCAACAAGAGCAGACGAGTGAGCATAGCATTTGATCATCAAGCGTACGAGAGAAATCGATCATCTTTCTTAAATGTTTGATTTTAAGAACGAAAAAAATCGACTACTCTCATAACCAGTGTATGAAACTTCATCTGTATTATTTAGATTTCAGGCTGAACTCGAATTCGATCAGTGGCAACGAATAGCTGGTCTAATTGATTTGTTTTTTTCTTATGTTCATGTAAGCAGAGCATCGAATTTCTTGTTACACAATCATCTGAACTGCATTTGACGGCAAGAGTATTCTTGTTTATAGACTGTACAGAATAAATATGAAAACCATTTGCTGAAACGATGGCAACCTCAGAATGAAAAGAAATTTTATTTTCTCAGTGTCTGACGTATGTGCTGGCGAACGAAATCAATAACTGTTTCGCCTGACAATTCTTTTAGTTGGTAAGAAAAAATTTGTTCTCTACACAACGGGAAAAGGACATTGTTCTTCTATGAAATAGTGCATTATTTAAATCAGAAGAAAAGATCTCTTAGCTTTTAGGTAATACACTGATGTCTGTTTTTCGAAAAAGTGATACCATCAATGGGGTTAGTTTTCAAACTATATAATTTCGATGTCGTTGATAGGGAACTGCAAAATCACTTTTTTTAGTCCCGGTCCCGGTCCCGGTCCCGGTCCCGGTCCCGGTCATATATTTTTTTTTAGTCCCGGTCCCGGTCACGGTCCCGGTCAAATTTTTTTCCAGTCCCGGTCCCGGTCCCGGTCTTTGACATTGGCTTCATTCCTAAAATCGAACAATTTTTTAACGATCTATGTACTTTTATGAATACATTAAATTGACATGAATAATTTTGATTCGTTAACATTACGAGAATTGTTTTTATATCCAGTGTTAAAGTGAAAGAATTTCATTGAAAACTCGAATAAATAAAAATAACCATTGAATTTTGTTAAAAATTCTCATGTTCTTCGTAGTAGTCATCTACTCATTTCTCTCTTCTCTTATATCTACTGCTCTAGCTAAGGGATTTATTATCGAATTGATCATTTATACTGAGTCGCCATTACTATTGTCAAAAAAATAAAATAAATGGCGACACATTGCATAAAAAACTGACCGGGACCAGTATGCAAAATTTTTAGTCCCGGTCCCGGTCCCGGTCCCGCAAAAAAGTCAAAATTTGGTCCCGGTCCCGGTCCCGCCGGGACCGGGACCGGGACCGGGACCACTTTGCAGTTCCCTAGTCGTTGAGCGAGAACATGTTAAATGACTAATTCCTAATCTATTTGGAATATTTTTAAGTAAAAATTTTCTTCGTACGTTGCAGAGAGCTGAGTACTAGGGTAGGTGTGGGTGAGGTTGTGGGATGCGAGGTATGGATGAGGATGTTCGCGTGGGTGTGAGTCTATAGTTCACCCGCACCTACACACTCCTACCCACACCCACACAACCCTTAACTACTGTCTATAAAATGTTTTTGACGAGTTCATATAAAAATTATAAAGTTATTGTGTAAGTGTTTCTCATTTTTTTTCGTGTTCTTTCAATTACCAATGTCTGATACATATGAATTATGCACTGTTCGAAAGACGAGAAAATGCCTATCAGCTGATGAATAAATTTTCTTTTCAGAATCTATTTATCAAAGAGACCTCAGGATCAATATTTTGAACCGTTTTTATAAAAAAAAAAGTGCGGATGCTTTTTAAGGATGCTTATCTAGTCTGTTGCGTCGTTTCGTCTATGGAAGTTTAATAAAAATAAGTCATATACGATTCGAAAGAGAAGAAAAAGCTCTATCTTTTGGTAAAACAAGTTTCGTTTAGCATGCTTCCAACGAAGAGAAATAGAGCCTGAGATTTGTCCCATTACTTTTGCATCATAGGTTATTATATAGATTTCAACAATTATTACTAATTATCAATAAAATGAATCTAATAAGATATTTCAGTAGATCAAAAAAATTCCTGCTTTGCCGATTTTACATAGGAAAAACTCCCAGTCGGTACTTTTCTGAAGTTAAGAAAAGGTATTTTTTACAGAGATTTTCGAGTTAATATATTTCTACTTTTATTATTTAGTATTATTTACCTGTGAAATAGTTGCAAATCAGTACGACCATAATAATATGATTTTTTTATGTTTAATCTCAATTTACATTTGAAATATAAATTGTGTAGAAAATAATATAGCACAACAAATCAATAACATAAACATCACGAAATAAATCCAAAAAGCAATAGAATGTTCAAGAGTTTCGATTTCACTGAACAACGTTGGCTTGTTCGTTGTAAAGTTCTAAGACTTTTCCTGAGGTTCCTGATTTCAGCCAACTGACCTGTGATTACTCGTAAAATCAGTCAAATAGAGATAATTTATCATGCAAAGCCGAACATTAATACATTTTTTGAGGTTAGAAAATCTCTGATGCTGTCATCTCAATATTTTAGAAATGTTGACTTTTTCGTTACACGAGGACTGATGGTGGAGTTGCAGAAGTGTTGACATAGTAAAGTTAGATGATTTCTAACCTTAAAACATATTACTGTTCGACTCTGCACAATGATTTACATTTGTCTAGCTGCTTTTTCGGGTGATCACCTGCTAGTTGGCTGAAATCGAGTGTCTCCTGAAAAGCCTTTTAATTCTCAAACGGAACAGGCTAAGAATGTTGGCCTTCAATCAATTGAAACGAAAGTGGCTATACAATATCGTTTTCGAAAATCTCCATTAAGAATTTAGCTGATTCATCGATTTCTTACCAATCAAACTTCGATATGCTTCGATAGCTTAGGCCTAGTGGACAGTTTTTGATAGGGACGTGGTCATTGGGTTTTAAAACACTCGGATACACTCAAAATACGTTTCTTACAGGTTTTCACCTGTGCTCTATCCTATGGAGTTGTTTCCAGAGTCCAAAAAACAGTGATCAAGTTCTATAGAGCGTATGGACATGACTCATTTTCTGTCAAAATCGTATTCTTTCCGAAAAAATGTTGGTTTCTACTGTTCGAAACAAAATGACTGACGAAAAAAGCGAAATTTTACAAAAAGATTGTGACAAAAACGCCTAAGAGGAACTCTAACGCGACATTTTTTGTCAAAAAATTTTCAATTCGAAAACCTAACAAATTATATATTATTCGATAAAATTGCTCGTGCTAATTCTAAATCTGTCTTTAATTTTGTCGAAATATGCTTTTTTGTCGAGAAAATCGTGAAAAACTTACATCTCAGTTCCGAAGCATTTACACATTTTTATCCATACATAGTTATTAAATATAAGCCCATTTTATTTTTTTTTTATCTATTCTTATTTATAATCCACTCTATGTTCTATCTTTTATATTCAACTTGCTCTTTCTGAATAAAGAAAAATCATTTGTTGAATGCAAAAAACAACATTTGATGACATCAGGATTGAACTTGGAACTTTCCTATTCTTTTATTTTTGATTTTTTTTTGCGTATAATATTCAGAATTCTTGAATTCCGTAGCTGATTCTTGTAGAATAATTCACTTTCTAAATATAGTTAAATCATATTAATTTTTAAGTAGATGAAATAATTGTCATAAACATCTAGAAATACTTCTGGATACTTAATCGACTATACAACTTATTATCATTTGTTCTCATCAACTTTTCACTCTCATACAGGCACAGCAGTCATGTTAAAAGCGAAGACGCAGAAAACAAATGTCATTAGGTAATGACGTGCAATACCATGATGGTCTTGTCAGCAGCTTGCTTGCATTTTTTTTGCTTATTATTTACCTACAAGAACACAAAATTTCTTATCAGAAAAAGTTTGTCGATCCACGTGTACGATAGATTCAATTTTCTTTTGTATTTATAAACAAAACGTATAGAACATAGTTTTAAAAATTCGTCAGATCTATAAAATAAATGAGTTTATTAGGTGAGTGGTTTTAAGTAAATTTATTGTTAAAAAAGAAAGTATAAACCTATATAAAATAAAAACACAGAATAAAATAAAGAGAAAAGAAATGAGTTAGAGAACGGAAGTTAAAGAACGAGAAAATTATGACGGTGTGAAATTGCAACACAATGCAATCGTATATTCATTGAAATTGAGACATATTGGAAGTTTCTATACATACATATAAGAATATACTTCATATTTGAAGACATAAAATCTATATTTTTTTGTTATTAAAATTATTCCAATTCTACCATCCTGAAAAAACAAAAATCAATTGATTATTATTTGTTTACTTTAACACCGTAACTCCATCTGAACTCTCAGTTACATAATCATTCGTCGAAACAGTTATAATGGTTGTGATAAAATCTCCTAATGGTGACAGATATGAAGGAGATTGGGAAGATGACATGAAAAATGGAGAAGGAACTTTATATTATGCAGATGGAGGTAAATATGAAGGTGAATGGGCTAATGATTTACGAAATGGTTATGGAGTAAATTCATGGGGTAATGGGGATCGATATGAAGGAAACTGGAAAGATAATAAGAAACATGGTGAAGGAACGTTATTTTATGCTAATGGAGGTAAATACGTCGGCGAATGGGAAGATGATATGAGAAATGGTCAAGGAAAAAATATATGGGTGAATGGCAATCGATATGAAGGATCTTGGACAAATAATCAACAACATGGTCAAGGAACATTTACTTATCCAGATGGAGGAAAATACATAGGCGAATGGGCAAACAACATGAGAGACGGATATGGAGTAAACAATTGGTCCAATGGTGATCGATATGAAGGATTATGGAAGTATAATAGAAGAAATGGAAATGGAACATTTTATCATGCTGATGGAACGGAAGAGATTGGTTTTTGGACAAATGATAAACTAAAGGGGCAGTCGAGTGATGCAAAAGACACTAAAAGTGAAAAAGTTCTTTCAAAGAATGGTATACAAATTAGAGGTCTTTGGGTAAATGGTCAACCTTTTTTAGTTGTATTAATGCCTAAATCATCTGATTGTCCTTATCTAACACTTGCACGTGAATTTGTTGTTTCATTAAAATGGGAAAAATCATTTTTTGATCGTGATCATGATAATTGCTATTGTAGTCATTGTTATAAGCAATCATGGAATGATGTTATCGAAGCTGGTGAAGGTAAATATGTTATTCCTCGTGGATGGGTACGTTTAGGTCTTCATATTGATCCCGTTCTTATGAAAACTCAAGATATTTGGAATAAATGGATAGTAACATTTCATGGAACAACAAAAATTGCTGCACAATCAATTCTTACACATCGTCAATTTTGTCTTCCGGGCGATGTATTAATTGATGGTACTAAATTAGGTATTCGTCCTGGACATATTCTTGATAAAAAATTCATTTATACATCGCCAACTATAGCTTATTCAAGTTGTTTAGCATATAGTCCGATCTATGATTTTCATTCAACAGAAAATGATACCGATTATCAAACTCAAATCGTTCTTCAATGTCGACAAAAGCCTACTACTTTTCAAATCGGACCAGAAACAATAGGAGCTGGCAAACAACAAATATGTCCACATATTCCAAACTCCAAGATTGAATTTTTTACTGAGAGAAGAGCTACACTTCATGCTTATGGATTACTCGTAAGATTTCGACCAAAACATTAATTAATTACAAATGTGAAAAAATTATGATTTTTTATTTGTTCATTCGTAACTGAAAAAATTCAATTCATTTTTTATGTAGATATTTGTATCAATTTTTAAGAAAAATTGAATAATATAACTATTCAATAATCAGTAAAAAGTTCACGGTTCTTTTTTTGTATTCATTTAGATTTTTGACAACAGTTACAATGATACTGAACAATTATATTTGGGAACAAAAATTTGCTCAATAAAATAGATAGAAGTTGTTGCTAACATATACACTACCGAGTCACAATATTAGAAGTATATTATGTCATAAATGTAGTTCGTATCTACACACACTACCTTGTCAAATAACCATAAACACAGTGAATTACAAATGGTGTTTAAAACAAACAAAAGAAGGGTTAACAAAAAGCGATAAAACAAAATATTATTAACATAGTTTTGAAAGAATTCCAATATTATTAGTCCCGGTCAAAGTCACAGCTAAATCTAGTAATAAGTCATTATTGAAATCTCCAACGGCAAGAGATAATGGTTTAGAATTATATCCTGTAGAAAGTGTATTTATTTTTTCGAAACTAATATTTCCATATTCAAACAGAATATTAATAGTATTCGTAGCATCATCAGTAACAGCTATATCTATATGAGTATCATTATTAAAATCATAAAGTACTATCGAATATGGACGAGAACTATAACCAATAGAATATTGAATTATTGATTTAACTTTATCATTTCCATCACCAAAAATCACGCTAATACTTTCATTTTTATGATTAGCTACAATAATATCCAAACAATGATCATGATCAATATCAGCAATAGTTATAGAAAAGGGTTGAAAGTCCGACTGATTTAATAAGATTGTTTGATTGGCAAAATTTTCGTTTCCATAACCTAAAAGAAGACCTATACTATTCACATCTTCATTAGTTACTACAATATCCAATTGATTATCATTATTAAAATCATCAACAGCTATTGAATTCGGATGAGAATTAGCTCCTGTGAAAAATTCTATTTGATTATGAAAGAGATCACAACAGTATCCAAGAAATACACCTAGAATTTGTCTCTCTTGATCAGTAAGTCACACCTAGCTGATTATCATTATTGAAATCACCAACTGTCATTGCAAACCAAATCAGAAGTCCAATAATTATATACATAGTTTGTTTTGTAAAAGTACCGTTTTCATATCCGAAAATCGAGTCGATCATCTTTATTGAAGTCATCAATAATGACTACTTCTACATTGAAACCAATACTCGTTGAATATGTTGTTTGATAAGCAAATGTTCCATTATTATATCCAAAAAAAAAATACTAACACCGCTTCCACAGTTACCAACAGCAAAATCAAATTTATTATCATCATTAAAATCTCCAATAGCTATGGATACTAGTCGAAAATCACTACTGCTTATCTTTTTCATTTGATTTTCAAAAGTACTATTATTACCATATCCATCAACAGTAGAGATTATACTTTTCGATGGACAAACAAAGATCACATCAAGATTATACTTTTCGATGGACAAACAAAGATCACATCAAGATTATTATCATTGTTAATATCGCTTACAGCAACCATAGTTGGAAAGCATCTTACATTATTTGAATATGTTGCTGAATTTTGAAATGTTCCATTACGATATCCATGAAAAATATTTATAGAAGACGTTGAAATATATATTACGATCATATCCAAACAATTATCATGGTTTAAATCTGCAAGTAAAATTGAGAGTGGAACAAAAATAGAGTCAATTGAATATACTGATTTAGATTTAAACGATCCATTATCATATCCAAGAAGAATTTGAATCTCCTTACTTTCATTATCAGTGACAATGATATCTGGGTGTGGGTGTGGGTGTGAGTTAACAAGGGATGAATACATCCACACCCAACACCCACCCCACACTCACAGCCACACCCATTCTGACATCTAACCTAGATCTCTAACATTTAAAATGGTGGAGAAATCTGACACACATAGAAATATCAAAACCAAAAATCATATTACAAGAAAAACACAAAATAACTTTCAAGGCTTTTTCCTCCATAAATTGATATACAAAGAATCTTCGAGTAGTTTTTCATATATTACTAATTCGAGTGAATCAAACGAACGCATATAAGGATTTAAAAGAAACATTTGTTTTTTTTTTCATATCGACATATTACGCTTGCCAAAATATCAATCAAAATTCAGCTATGTAAAAAAAAAATGTATAAAGTCATGTACATTGATAGTACCATATTGTATTCATCATGATTAATAATTTGATAATGAAAAATGTATGAAAAATAAATGAGTAAACAGTGATTCATAGCCTATTTTATATTGGTGAAATAATAGTGAAAAAATCTCATTTTCGAGTGTTCTATTCATTTACCATGACTAGCAATGCATAATAGTCATGTCTATCAATATCAAACGTCAACAGAAAAGCTTGAAACACTTTGAAACCCAGAGTTGTAAAAAAAAGAGCGTTATTTTCTTCTGTGTAAGGACTCAGAAAAACCTATAGAATATCCTTAAATCTCAATATAAAATCAATAAATTGTAGTACATTCAAGAGTAAACATTTTGCTCTGTCTAATGAGCTAAAAATTAAACAATTGACCTTTTCTAAGCAGGACCTCAAACTTTTGGCTAGCTTCTGATCGTCATTCTACTGCGATATACTGATATGAGTGTGCACAAACGTGCGACATGTAGATACAGTTTATGAATACATTAATTAAAGAGAAATAGATGGTCTAATGTTTATATTTTTCTTTGACTATTACCACAATTAAAAGCTCAATATTATTTGTTTATTAATTAGTGTACAACTACGCTAACACAGAAGAAAAAAATGTCCTATTTTTCATCGACAAACAGAGTTTTATATGCAATAAATATAATATTAAAAAATACTATTTTGATATGATTAATTGATCGATAAATTAGAACCAAGAAGGCTAAAGGTTTTTCTCGAAGCGCTATTAATATTATATCCCATACGACATACAATGTAATTAATTGACGGTACTGTCTTATTTCAAAATATGTCCTTCGTTGATTTGTTTTGTTATTTTTTAGCTTTAACTCTTGAAAAACAGGTCACTTTGAATACAATCGATGGTAGTAAAAATCAATCACTTGACTTTTCAAAATTTATTTTTTGATAACTAATGATCCAGATCAAATTGAAAAAACTTCGTTTCTTTTATGCCTATTATTTTTCTTATTACATAGGTAATATTCTTTTTTAGTTCTTTTGCATATTATTAGTAAGTTAAATAACATCAACATTCCTACGCTACATGCCCATTAACTATTTTATTTATATTACATCTATATATTATCATACTGATGTTGCTGATATGTTTTTCACTTGATAAGATACAACGAAAGATTAAAATACAAAAAAAAGTAAACGAAATATAGGTATGAGAATAAGTTTTTCCAATGATATGACTACTACTTATGCGTCGTATTTATGTTTTTACTCTTTGTTCACTATAATATATAATAAAAAAAATGTTAGTATAAATATATGATAATAAGGTTTTCATTGATGTTAAAATCATATTTTTGACAACGCTTTCTTGTTTGAAAAATGTAGTTCTAACTATTCTCTATCTACTATACAAATTTCAAGTATTAGCGATTCTTACTAGTCTCTCTAAAAAATTCCTAACTCACCTAAGGGAATATTATTATCGCTTTAGAACCATTCTCCCTTTCTGAGGTTTATGCCGAGCAGCTTATCAGACATATTTGAAAGTTTCAAAGTAGATAGATCTCAATGAGTAGAGCAAAAGTTGTGATAGACTCCAAATTTTCAAACATTTCTTTCCAGAAAATATATGCGAATGGTGCGATATTTTTGAAAACAGCAAACGATAGACACCTCAAGTAATGCGAGTTCTTCTGCTAGGAATTTCGAGAGATGAGTTTAATGAATGTACTAACTAGCAACAAAAGAGTCCTCATTTGTATGATATTTGACATAGAACACGTCAAAGCTATACTAAAAGCCCAAAAAATTTTCGATTTTATCATCCGGAAATGACGGCGAATCTACTTAAGGAGGTCTTCCTTTCATAATTGAAAAAAATTTTTTTTTTATGACCATCGTATCATCAGAGATAGTATCTATCTATTGAGTGCGTTTGGCATCCGAAAGTTGTCTTTGAACATTAAAAAATTCGAGAAGAAATCAAATTAACGAAAACTATGTTGTTTTACCTTTTTCTTTCTCAAACCAACTTCTTCATGCAATCGAGTGAAAACTTTTGTCATATTATACTATACAGGGTGTTTGGGATAATTAGTTATTTTTATTTCAAAAAATATTATTCTCGTGATCTTTAGTAGCTCTTACAAAAAAGCATGTACTTTTTACGGTCTCTTCTATATTTAATAAAAAGACATTCACCCAAAAAAGTGTCTAGTATCTGTACAGACGTTTTCAGCTTAATAGAACATAACATCTCGAAGACACTAGACAAAAATCAGAACCATCAAATTTTCCGATATGCTACTCTCCAGAAACTTCTGAAATGTTTCTAGGCTATATGAAACTTTACTAGAAAAATGTCTATAAGTAAAATATTGTCCAAAAGATTTTACAATCAAAAATAAATTGCTTAGTTCATCATTAGATCAAACATGTATCAATGCATTTTTATCCCGCACATACGTATGTAGGCAACAAAAGGACGCAGAAAATTCGATAATATTTCATTTTTAAAGAAAAAACAATTTTCTATTTGCCAAATGTGTGAAAAACACAGTTTTGTATCTCTTTCAAAATCTCGTCACTGAAGTGTTAACTTCACATGATGTTTTTACGCTATTTAAATTGATTAGTAAAATCTCGTTTTTTTATTTCCGTAAGATTTAGTTTTCAGGTGCTTTATATATAAACATGCTTAGAATCAATTCTTTCACTTCTTCCGTTAGTTTCCTAGCAAAGCTAGAAAAACTAGAATTAAAACATCACTAAAATTTGATACTGATTTTATATATTTGACGATTCGAAAATTGTTGACAGTGAGCAAGCCACACCCTATAAACACATAGTCTTTAAATATTGACCAGCAGTGTCTGACGTAATGATAACATGAATAATTAAAGTACAATCTCATTACAATGACGATGCATTTTTTTAACTCCATAAAAAAAAATCTTTTCTCCTTTTATCGTGGCAAAATAAAATTATGTACTCATATTTTGCTGTTCTACTCGCTTTTTTTCCGTTTAACCTCAAAAGTACCGAATACTCTAATTCAAATAACGGATACAGAACAGGAGCATGCAATTCCTCTATAAATGATCGCAGAAAAAGCATTGAATGCAGAGAAAGAAAGAAAGAAGTAAGTTGTTTATAGAAGTTTATCTTTTCTTTAATAGAAGTGCCATCACTAATTTTATTCTTTTCTTTTGATTATTTTAGACACTATAGTGTTTGATTTCTCGTTTGATAAAAAAAAACTCCAATGATGGTTAAACATATTTTGAGACAAGTATAAATGAAAGATCAACTTTTTCACAAATCATAACAAGTTATATTTTCAATTTTTATTTTTGAAAAGTTATTTGAACATGAATCATCAACATATACATATCTCTTAGCTGATTTAACAACAAAAGAAGCTTTGATTATTGATCCTGTTATTGATACTGTTGAACGTGATGCTAAACTTATTCAACAACTTGGACTCAAATTACGATATGCAGGTATTTGAAAAACCTACTTTTAAAAACAAGTCATCATTGTTCATATTCGTTTTTAGTCAATACACATGTTCATGCTGATCATATAACAGGAAGTGGTAAATTGAAAATATTATTTCCAGGATGTAAAAGTATTCTTTCGATTGAAAGTGGAGCTAAAGCAGATATTTATGTAAAAGATGGTGAATTCATCAAAATTGGAGAATCAGATAAAACACCATTGACACTTGAATGTCGAGCAACTCCTGGTCATACAAATGGTAAGTAAAGAATTTCAAATATAATTGATATTAATCATATAAAAGAAAATGATTTCAGGTTGTATGAGTTTTGTTTGGCATGATTATGGAGCTGTATTTACAGGTGATACTCTTTTAATTCGTGGTTGTGGTCGAACTGATTTTCAACAAGGAAGTTCTGATACACTTTATACATCGATACAAACAAAAATATTTACATTACCTGATCATTATCTTGTTTATCCAGCACATGATTATACAGGTATTTCATTGATTTTTTCTTCGTAGAAAAATTTGTAAAAATATTTATTTAGGACAAACATGTTCAAGTATTTTTGAGGAAAAAACTTATAATCCAAGGTTAACTAAATCACGAGAAGAATTTATTGAAATAATGGCTAATCTGAAACTTAGCTATCCTAAACAAATTGGTAAGAATAGATGTGATTTGTAATCAATATTTACTTTGTTTTTATTTAGATAAAGCTCTTCCTGTAAATTTGGTTTGTGGATTACAAGGAGATATATAATTCCCTGCTTTTTTTTTGAACATTCTTTTTTTTCTACGCTGCCATCTAAATAAAATAAATTCTTTTCATAAATATAAGCTTTAATTATCAACGTGATAGTCTCGCTTTTTTTTCTTTGTTTTTAATAAACATCAACTTCTTTCATTTGAATTTATTGGATGAACGTCATTTTGTAGGAAAGAAAAGCTGAATTACATGATTACTATGATTTATTTTCCGCCAAAAGTAAATCATATAGATACCCAATGATATATTAATAAAAAGAAAGAAGAAAGTGCATAGTACGGTAAATGTACAGAGATATTCAAATGAAAAAAAATATATTTTCATTGTTCAATTGTATTCGATCTAGTAACTTCGTCTACGCATACTAAATTATACTTTTCTGAATACATTTATAGCTCAGCAATATAATTCTTATTGTGAACTTTTCAAAAGACAAAATGCTAGATTATTGTTAATCTTCATACTATCATATTTAATATCTAAACATGAATAATACAATGAGTGAACATTTCATTTTTTTTTTTGAGACTTATATTATTTGAAAGAGCATAAGCTTACACAAATTCAGCATAATGATGATTGATGCATATTTGAAAAAGAACAAAAAAACAAGACATGACATATATTTTCCTTTCCTTTATTTTTAGTATTTTTTAACGTTGCACTATATTCATATGCATAAACTGTTCATTCTCTTTGATAATTATTGTTCCTATTACTTCGTCTTTTCTCACATATTAAATGAGCCCAATATTTATTATGGTTAAAATTACTTTTGTCAACTAATATAGAATATTTTTTGATAAATATAGTTAATAATAATTAACCTTTTAGAGATTTTGAAAAGAAACCATTCAGTTTTACTTAATGAAGCACTAAAACCAAAAATAATACCACCGCCAAATATACACGCTGTGGTAATGAATGAACTCAACAGAAGATGCGTCATACCTTGACAATTAGAAAATAGATTTATACTTATATAGCAAATGAGAAACCAATTCTATTTTTACCTGACATTCCTTGACCACTCGTACAACCCTCGGCATATCGTGTTCCTAAGAGTAATAAAAATTCTCCAAGAATACTACCGAGTATATTTGTTCTGTTTTCTGAGCTTAATGGAATTGTTTTTGATAAACATGCTGATAGAGCACTGTCACCAACAGCTCCTAAAACAAATAGAATTGCTACATGATTTTTAGCTTCACAGATAAATGAGTTCAACTATGGTAATAGTCGACCAATTATTTTAATGTGACACACTTGTGCAGCAAATACCGTAAATGCTGATGAAATTCCTAATGATTTTTCGAGGAAAAATATAAATAAAGAATTGTAAAAGACTCACAATGGCACAACAAGTTGTTGGTGGCCAAGCAGCCAAACTCAAACAATTGTCTAATGCTTGACTTAGATTAAGAGTACCTTTTTCTAATAGCCTAGGATTTAAATTGGATTTCCAAGGAACAGCAAATTCAAAGCCAATAGGAACACCAAGAAGGATAAGACCAAACATCGAATGAAAAAGAAGATTGGGAACATGAAATATATTACAAATACGTCGAAGCATAAGAGATGATGAAGGTAATTCTTCTTTTGAAACGCGTTTACGGACAAGTATATAATAAAAATAAGTGCACTAAAAGACATATAAAATGAAAAACAATATTAAATATCAAGTAATAATTATAGTTACACTTGAACAAAGACTCTTCCTGGACAACTACCACACGTAATCATGCCTAATTCAATCAGATTACCATCAAATATATAGTGAAGAACTAAAATTTTCAACTGTCACTGTCAAATAAATCTAACACACATGTACAAAATCTGTGAACAACATGTCTAATCCATTTTCGTCTACAGTGGACGTCAAAAGTCTTGCCTCATGTTTTTGTTTTGATTTGCATTTCAAAAATACACAACATAGATTCTATTTTCTTTTATTTCTACGGATAGCGGAGCTCGAGTACTATATGTATGTATATATTTGAAATGAATAACGATTGAATATAAAATAAATGAAAAAAAAACAAACTTCAGTACTACGAAAAAACTACATGCGAAACTACAAAATTATATGATTATTATCAGTTTTAATAGTTTTAGTTAGGTAGGAGTGATGCAAAAATTGAGTAAAACTATTTTTTGATATTATCAAATGGTTCGATAGATTTCGACGAGCTCTACAAAACTGTTTATATTAGAGGTTTTTTAAGCCTTTTTGGAGCACAAAATTACAAAAACTGGCATTTGTATGTTTGTTTCTTTGAACAGAAAAATTGTCGATTTTTCGTATAGAACAAATAAAATATGTGCGAGTTTTTTGTAACTTTTCGTCCCAGAAAAAGGTTTAAAAAATTTTAAAATAAACAATTTTCTAGAGCCTGTTGAGATCTATCGAACCATTTAAAAATATAAAAACCTTGCTCAATGTTTTGCGTTACTCGCAGCTTACTAAAATTCATAACAGCCATATCATTTTCTAGTTTTTTTCGTAGTACTGAAGTTTGTTTTTTTTTCCTATATTTTATATTCAACCGTTATTCATTTCAAATATATACATACAGTACTCGAGCTCCGCTATCCGTAGAAAAAAAAAGAAAATAGAATCTATGTCGTGTAGTTTTGAAATGCGAGTCAAAACAAAAAAGTGAGGCGAGACTTTTAATGTCCACTGTAAATTGAGTTATCCTCGGTTTGATTTTTTTTCAAAAATCTTTATTTTAAAAACATTATTGTATCACAGGATTTGTTATACAAACTATTTAATATCAAAGAATTCCTCAGCGAATCTCTTCTAGAGATATATATCTCGATTGACATTCTCGTGCATTTAACTTCGTAACACGAATCGATCCCTTAGTGAATACATTCTAAACATAGCAGAATCAATTTATATCGATGAATCATTATTCTAAATTTTTTACAACTAACTAACAACATCGGACAACTCAATGATTAAAGCGATGACTTCCCAATTCATATATCCATAATTCAAAATCTTATTCGGTTCACTTTCTTTTTTGTTACTCAGGCTTTTAGTTTTGGTAATATGTCATAAAATGAATCCTATTAAAATCGTACAACATAATACTGAAAAACTGTATCTTCACAGATCTATTCTAAATATATATGATTTTTTCAGCAAGTTTGTTACAAAATCTCTCATATCAAAAATTTTGAAGATTTCAACATGAATTCATTGTTTTTTTGCAGCTAAAGTTCTATACTTTCATCAATGCAGTTGTTAAGTGAACGAAAGAGAATCAGGACTCGATGTGAGAAGTAGTGACATCTTATGTCTAGAGACATACGTATTTTAGTATGTTTCTTCCAATCGAATATTTTGTATGATAAACCAACGAAAGATTACTTATTCGATCTTATGTCAAAAATATTTATTTTGTGATTATCAGAAAAATCTCATGTATGAAGAATTTTTTTTTTTTGTATTTTTCAGATGGATAATTCATCATTTAAAATATGTTCAACATGTGAAAACGAAAATATTACGAAACCAAAAATGGGAATTCATCCATGTCATGGATGTCAATTATCATTTTGTTTAATGCATCTTATGAAACATAGAGAAGAACTTTTAAAAAAACTTGATTTAGTTATTATTCAACGAGATGAATTATTTGAATCAATATTTAAAAATGTGAATTTTAGTAATGAAAATATTGAAAAATCTCTACAAAATATTGATGAATGGGAAACAAAAATGCATGAATCAGTGTGAGTACAATAAAGAATACTAACAATAAACAGTGATTTTCGATCGATTTCATCATTACACAAAGACATACTGACGAAGAAAACTACTTAGGTTGCTACTCGCCTTTTGAGCTCATATTGAGTTAACAAGAAGACTTTGAAAAGACTATAAAAACTTGAAAGTGATCATGCTCGTGGGCTTCTGCACCTGAGTTATCACTATTTTAATGAATTTTCGAAATCAGCTTTAGATATTTACCAAAACATCAAATAGTGGAATTCAAATCTGAAATTTCCGATCGAAAAGAATGTTCCTTTGTCGAAATATTGAATTTTCTGAAAAATAGTTGTTTGCTACCAAAATCGAGCTTAGTTGAAAATTTCCTGAGGCATAAGAACTCTTCATAAAAAAAAAAACTTCAGATTCAATTATTCGGTTGACTTCTCGTTCTTCTTTTGCGAGATGTGTTCAGTGAAAACTAATAGATAAAAATCTTGTAGACAAAATTTTCAACTCATGAATTTAACTTATGTTAAAAGAACAAAAAAAATACTGCGACAGTTCTTCAAGAAGGATGAAAGACGTGAAGAATTCTCAAATGAAAATATGGTAATCAGTCTAGTGGAAAATATCTATGATAGTTTGTATTTGACAAAATGATGTACCCATTCTCCTATGCACGAGTGTTCCTAGCGACGGAATGATCTTCCCAATTTGGACAGTCTTGAGACACTTTTACTCCTATGCACAAAAATCTTACATACATCGATAGAAAAAAAAATCATATTAGTTATATGATGTGTACATTCAAGATGGGAGAAATTTCTAGCATTTTAGGAAAAATTTATTTCTATAATTTGATTTATTCCTATCAGACATCAAGTTGCCGAACGAAGTCGTGATAATGTTCGAGTTGAATGTACTAGACAATTGAATGAAATAAAAGTACAATATGATGAATTTACGAAAGTCTTATCTGAAACACGTGAAAATGATAATTTTTTTGAAAACGATATCGAACAATTATCAATTAAGTTAGAACAATTTAAACAAGAAATTCATAAAATTAATATTGTTCTTCAATTAAATCATATCGATAATATCAATTGGTCTCATTCAGTTAATCTTAAACAAGAAGAAAAATCTATAGTATCCTATTTGAATAATTCACAATTATTATTCGAACGAAAAATTATTTCATTACATAATCGAAATTGTTTTTTTCTGGCTGCATCTAATATACATATATTAGCTTATATTCTAAGTATTAATCTCAATGAAAATCGTCTTATTCTCTATAATGCTTTGGATGGAATTGAACTTTGTTCAACTGAACTTGATATTCGATTTGGTAATGTCTGTGATATAATCTATGCTGAAACACTCAATCGTTGTTTTCTTGTTGTCTGTAGACAAGCAATTCTTATTTATAATCCTCAACAAATGACTTTTACAATTATATCTGAAATAAAACCAATTGATGAACATCCATTTTGGTCAATAACTATTTCATCAAATACAAATGATGCTTATCTTAATGTAGATAGTAATGGTTATATTGAACGATGGTCAACAGAAACACATCCAAATTGGAAATTAATTAAACGTTGGACTATTCAAGAAATTTTAGAAGATTTTGATCAAGGTATTCGAATGATTCGAATATGTGAAAATAAAAATCAATTAGCTATTGTTGTACTTCAACAAGATAAATATTGGCGTATTGATTTATTTGATCTTAATCTACAATTAATTAGTCGTGGTAGAAAATTAAATATTTCACATGGAATAGATAAAATTAGTTTTGGTTGTCGTCTTTTAGTTTTACCTGATGATAATGATGAAACATGGCTATTAACAGAAAGAACAACACATTCATTATGGTATATCAAGGGTTTAATATCAAAACAAATTGATAAAGATGTTCATAGTGCATGTTTAATAATAAATAATAATCAACAACGAAAAATTGTTGTCAGTTATAGTAATGAACCGAAACGAATTGAAATTTTTAATCTTTAAATTTAATATTTTATTCAAATTATTTTGATCTGAATATTTTTTTATTCTTCTATATTTTTCTTAAAATATTTTTAGATGATGAAAAATTGATTAATGAAGCGTTCATCTTCATCCCTTGATCAACAATTAACTAACAATGATGATAAAATACATCAAGAGTCTTATGCAAAAATGGTTCGACGTTCGTCATCTCGATCGGAATTTAATAACGAAGAAAAAAATCAATATAATAAACAAACAACAGCAGTGGATCAGCGCGTTGTACGGCAAGATTTACTCTGCTTTTTGGAGGGTATTTTTTTATCAACCATCCGAAAAATTTCAAACTTCGAACTACTTTTTTCTTATCAAAATTGAATATGAAAAAAGAAACCTGTGAGAACAGCTTCCTTAGCAGTAAAATATGAAAGTCCTATGTTTCTTTAGCCTTATTATACTAATACAAAATATATAAAGGTGCTTTATTGTTTGTTTTCTTTGCTACAATTCACTCTTTGTCTTTTATGTCCATACTCGGTTGCTAATGAACTCGGGGGAAGTAATCTCATGTCAGTTGTTCTCGATTGATATGACCTAGAGGGAACAGTAAAACTCTCAGTTTACACTTAAACTCCACTATTTTCCTTAAAAATTGATGTGAGTTTCACAAAACCGCATAATTTAAATTTGAAATATGTTCAGATTTCCAAAGAAAAGTAAATTTCTGACAGACCGAAGGAATTTATCAAAGAAAGAGATACAGAAGTTAACTGATAACTTTCGAAATGTCATAATATTTACCCTAATCTGTCATTAAGCAATAGTATATAGATAAAAAAATTGCGAAACTTCTTGAAATAAGACTAAGAAATATCTACGTGAATCAAAAAATGACTCATCCACTACAAAGTTACTTCTAGATGATTTCGATAATTAATACTTTGCCTAAAGAAAATCTCTTGGATTTTTCAAAAACTGCCAAACAAACCATGATAGCATCATTACGGAGCTCTTGAAAATACCAAACTATTTAATACAAATTGCTGTGCACCATCTAGCTATTCTAGGAAATTTCAGTAAATATATAAATGGGCAAATATGAAAATAAACAATGATCTATTTTTAATTATTTTATGTTCGCATCTGTCTTATCTTTTCCATGTAAAAATGCTAATGATCGTCATTTTGATTATTAATTATTTTTCATGAAATCTCAAAGGAAACATTATCTATTAATATTTTTTATTTTAAACTTGATTGTGAAAGAAATTTTTCTTTGCTGATATGACGTAAAATTTTAGGAATTTCCTTAATTCAACACTTAAAAGTTGCCATTATTCTTACTATTTACCATTGATAAATTCAATGTTCAGGGTACTTTAATTTGATATAAAACTTGTTGTTGATTTTATTTGAAATCATAGCGTTACCTCCCTGAAAAAACATTTTTACCCATTCTGAGCATAGAAAGTTATTTCATAACTCCTGCATTCACTGAAATATCCTAGTAATTTCATTGTTTATTGCAATTGCCTAGGAATTTGAGTATGCATTGAAATTTCCTAGTTATTTCAAAGATTTCTAAGAAATTACAAGAATTACGAATATTTTGAATAGTAGGCTTTCATTCTTCGTATGAAACTATATCGATATTAAATCGAATATATATATATACATAGTAATTTTCATATCTACTAAAGCTTGCTGGCAGTTTCACAGTAATTACTAAAATTCAGTCTATGCTTTGCATGGAGCACTTTTTTGCAGAAACTTTTGAATATTATTTTTTTTGGATGTTTAGATTTTCTGATAGTAGTTGGAAATTTCTTTTCTTGTGGATTGTTCGTAATTAAAATCATCTGGAAGTTGCGCAGCCATATAACATGAACTTCGAAATTTTCTTGTCGTGTAGGCTTAAACATCGAAATTTCGTAGATATTTACTTCTACTCTCTTGATTATTTTAGAAAATTTTCTGGAAAGTTAAGTATTTTCCAGTAAATGATGTAAATGGCTTCTAAGAAAATTATGGTAAGTTTCAATCTTGCTTGCTGATATTATTTTATGTGGTGAATAGTTTTCATGAAAGAAAGTTACTTGTTTTTGGAAATCTGAACATTGCAGAAAAGTTAAATTTGTCTGATAATAAATCTAATATTTGTTTGTATACTAAGATAACAGTCTTGATCTTGTTTAGGATTTTATATCAAATGATTGAAGAGTCGTACCACATAGGACGTTCACTTCTATTTAAATACATTTTGTATTGCAAACTTTATTCTATTAAAATAAATTTTTCTTACAGTTTTTCTGTTAACGAATTATTATTGTGTCTTATCATGTACACTTTGAGTCAAAAACTACAGGAAGTGATGTAGCATTTGTCAACTTTTAAAATATACAGTTTTTCATAGAAGTTCAGGATGTGAGATCCTCTCAGAGATTTTCGAATGAAAGAAGCTAATATTTTTAGGAACAAAAACTGGTTGTTTTAGACAGAAAATATATCATTTTCACGTGTTCGATAGAAATTGCTTATAGTAATGAGAGAATTTCACATAACCATTTGATTTTTTTTTCAAATATTATTTAGGAAGACAAGACTTCTGACTGGTTACCTCGTTATTCCTTGATTCTCGGTTCATTTTCTGAACCTCCAACATATGTTATACATTTTCTTGATTCACATTTAACATTTTTACAAAGTTTTCAAATTTGTTCATTGTTTGGTCGTGTTCGTATTCATGGATATACTCTTCATCCATTAACATTTTATTCTGTCTATAATTATCGTACCAATAGTCCAGTTTCAATTGAATTTATTAATTCGGAAACAGCAATACCTTTACTAGATATAAAATCTCTTATTAGTGATATTCAATTAGCTGACAATGCTCTATTGAATGTAGAACAAAAAGGTGGTGATATACTTTTAATACGAAAAGAATCAAATAATGATTCATTATTTATCAAAACTATGCGAGAACATCAATTTTATAAAAATTGGTTTTCAGAAAATTATAATTTATTTGAACGAGATAACTGGAAACAATTAGAACAAAATCTTCATATTCGTTTAATTGAAACAACAGATCAAATTGCTGTTATTCCTCGTAAAGAATTTGTTTCAACTGCTGATCATATTATTAATCGATGGTTAAATGTAGCTGTCGAAGGTATATGACTTTTATTTTAAATAGTGATCTATCATTCAAAATTCTTTTTTTGTTTTAGATTCTCCATTTATAGTTTTGATTTGTGGTGAAAAAGATATGGGCAAATCAACATTTATTCGTTATCTTACTAATCGTGCTCTTGATCATATCAGTTCAACATTTAGTTTAACATATTTTGATTGTGATATAGGTCAATGTGAATTTAGTATAGGTGGATGTTTATCATATGTTAATCTTGATTCACCATTATTAGGCCCACCTTGTTCTCATATAAAATCAAATCCAAAACCTGATCGTCTTCTTTATTATGGTCTTCTTTCACCACAAACATCACCTGTACGTTATTTACAATATATTAATAAATTAAGACAAATATGGAATATAGATCAAAAGAATGGAAATCAAAAACGATCTATGATATTAATCAATACAATGGGCTGGGGAACCGGTAAATAAGAAATAGAATGAGATGATATATTAGCCTGCATCAAAATAAACTTCTATAAGTTTGACATTGTCTGATTCACAAAAAAAACTCAGAATTTAATTGATGCATCGAAGAATAAAAATAAGCATAAAAATGAGTGTACATTTCCATAGTAGTAACCGTTTCAGCTGAGATAGTACTTATCGTACTAATGCATTGGCTTACTAAGCAGCTTCCCTTTCAGTTCCATTCGATAATTTCTCACTTGGATCTCTTTTCAATGTAGTCCTTATATATCTTTATAATAAGTCTTTTAAAGAATTCCCAGTACATTTGTTACGTAAGAAATGAGTTTGATTGTTTTTTCAATAAAATTTGATAGAAATAAGATAGGAAAAAATATCCTTTTTCGATTTACACAGGTCCTAACTGTTTAGCTTATGTCATTTCAGATTTACCAGCGTTGTCTCGAGACTCCGGATTTCATTAAATTGAACTTGGAAGATTTCAAAAAAGTTCAAGACATAAGCAATTCATTAAGCTGATTCAAATATTGATGTTTATCTTCAGTCTCAAAGCGACTTGAGACCACTATTTCAAGGCTATGTAAATTCCGATTTTTATATTGTGTATAGAAATTTTTTTAAATTTCTGCCATCGATAGATCTAGTTCAATCATTTTCTTGCCTTATTCCTGTCAGTATCTAAACATTTCCATCGCAATTTATAACTCAAGAACAATATTTAGAAAATATGGTTTTCCTCTCACGGTTTATTTCTACAATTTATTATATTTTTTTTTTCTAGGCCTTGGCCTTGAAATACTTAAAGAAACAATATGTATGTGTTGTCCAAAGGTTGTCATTCAATTAGGAGATAATATGATTTCATCTCAAAATCGAAATAAAATGCCTGACTTGACACTTGAATGGTTATTACAACAATCAGTTTATGTGCCATATCGAGTAATGTTAAAGTTAAAATCTTTGTCTCTTCAATTTTTTAAATATCTTTCAGCAGCAAATACAAATGAATAATAGACGACAACAAGATTATGATGGACAATTAAATTATGAATATATCAAAATGCAATCAGCAGCAGTATCAAATAGACTTGAGAGGTAAAAGAATTTTTATTTATTTCCTGAGAAAATGTTCAAGACACTGATTTTGTTTTAGTAATACATCAAAATTACGTGCGCGTGATCATCGTCTTCTTGCAACTTGGTCTTATTTTTTCTCTTCATCAAATCTTTCATATATTCATCTACCATGGTCACAACTTGTTCATGTATCTCTGCTTGATAATAAAAATAAAAATTCGATTGTAATACCTGATAGTCTTGAACGTTCGATGGTTGCATTATGTTCAAGTGAAAAAATTGATCAAGTAAAATCAAATTTATTCTAACTAACAAATAATATTTATTGAATTTTAGTTACGGAATTCGGCAGTTTCTATAAATGAAACATTTCAGTTATTGAATTATCAAGATGAAATCTTTGAATGTTTGGGTTTTGGTAAGAAAAAAAAATTGCTTTTCTTTTTCCATTTCTATATTTTATTTTTCTTTCAAGCTTGGATCGAACATTGTAACAAAGAAACAAGAAATTATGAAATCTATACTCCGGTCAATTGTCTTACTAATATTAACCTTCTTGTTATCGGTGCATTTGATATACCCGATGAGTTTCAATACATGTTCAGTCGTGTAAATTTATAATAAATATCGTATTTTCTGTGATATGAAAATAAACGCAAGATAAAAATGATTGCTATCCTTCATCACCTTCTCTGTAATATTGTGATTGATATATTGTCAGGCATTGAATTTCGCGATAAATTTTCACATTAGACAATAAAATATTTCGAGTAAGGAAAAAAATAGAGTTTCAAGATTCTTTATTTTTTTGGAAAATGGTATTTCAAAACCGTTATTATCAACAACGAAGACGTTCTTCAAAATTTAGGATGAATATAAATAAATCTTTTAATTGTTTTTGACTCAAATGTATTCTAATGATCGTATTGTAGGTTTCGTAGCACATAGCACAGAGATAGAGTTGACATCGGCTACCAGCTAGGCCGATTCGAGTCCAGTACACTTTTCAGACTGATCAATTGTCTCTATTCAGCCCGATACTGGTGCCGATCATGAAAAACCCAGATCGATGCAATCGCTGGTATAAGAGACAGCTAATTATTGCCATCAAGTATTAATACATAGTTATTGACCAATGTGAATGATTCTAAGAGTATCGATGAACGTTGTATAATGCATTTCTTTTTTATCGATAATAAGTAGGTGAGTCAAAACAACACATATTAAATCAATGTTTTGCTCTTCTTTTCAAAGTTACCAGTATCTATTTGCATGTTTTCAGGACTAGGTGATCATTAAATTCAATACAATCATACAACCAAATGAGAAAACTCGCAAGCTCAGATGAACGAATCCGATCATCCGAGGTGAATCTGAATTACAGAATCACTATCAGATCCAACAGTCAGCTTCCGATGAATATTGGATAATATTCAACTGTCAAAACCGATAAAAATTTCCACCTTTAGTTGCCAACAAATCCTCTATAAGCTCCCACCAACCTTTTTAGATCGCCGACGAATTCTGTATGTTATGAAAAGATTCATCATTCGACGTGTACTCGACTTCTTATGAAATCATAAAGCGTGATTAGCTATAGTGCGGTTGTAGTAACTGTTGATAACATCGATTCGCAGTACACAAATTCATGAAAGTTTTTGAGTTGGGATATTTCAGTCAAAAGACGCATATTTTGACAATTTGAGGATTTCTTACAAACTTGGAGCAAACCTTCGCAAAGATGAGGAATTCGTACTGTAACGCCTTCCAATACTAAATATATGCCCTCAGAGTATTGTTGTGAGTGATTTTATAAAGTGGACATCAAATAATACTTTTGCATCTATTCGTCCTTTTTTACATGTAGAGTCATATTTGCTGTTTAAGTAAATTCAGAAGTGACCAAAGCTTTGACTCCATAATGATGGCAACTATTTCAGTTACAAAGAAAAAAGAACTTAATAAAATGATTGGAAACATTATGACTAAAAGTAGTTCTAATTTAGTCGAAAAACAAAAAGTGAGCAAAAATATCAAGATTGATATGACTCATATGAGATTTAGCTTAGTTGAAAACCGAGAAATGACAAGTAACATTATAAGCATCATTGGTACAACTGTATAGATTCAACGAAAACACGAAGAGTTGGCAAATGCATGTAAAATATCATCACTGGGGATGAGCTTGATTCTTTCGCTCACTTGTTATGTTTTTCGTCACTGTAGAAGTCTTTTTGCTAATTTAAAGGTTTGGAAGAATTTTCAATCAGTATGCATGGTATTATAGTCCAATAAACAAATTCTATGACACTGTTTTTTTGGCGATACTCGATATATGTGGGAAAATGATGGTTCAATTATCTTTTTGCAATTGCTAGTCTTTTAGTTTATAGTATGTTGATCTTTTTTATGATCTATTTTCTTTGATGTCCGATCTGTTAGCCTTCTTCCAATAGGTATGTTTTATAATATATCTATGAACAAGATTATTTCGTTACTCAATGGTATGTTCTGTAAATGATCTTCTGGTGTTCTGTTGATGTTTTATCGCACTATTTGCAAGAGATACAGCTACTCATAAAGATTGAATGCAGAAGGTATTGTACATTTTTTATGTTGCTTAGAAGAAGTTTTCACTAACGGTTTTTAGATTCGAGGTATTGAAAGACAGCATCATGTTTTCAACTTTTTGAAAGTTTTTGTTATTCTCCAGTTTATCGTTTTTGGAACGATCATAATTTGTCTAGAACGTGTTGGTAAAGATTTTCATGGTGAGTGAATTTAAACTTTTAAACTAATTTTTCACAGTTTTCACTTTGGCTTTTTTGAGCTTCATGGTTTGAGTATTTAAACAGTTCTGAGACGAGCAATTTGAAAGAAACTCGATTACTTTTTATTAGATTACACGATTTTTTGAGTTGAATTTGAATCATATTGATGATATCAGTTACGAATCATTTGGTAGATAAACTGTTGACAATCATGGAAATCCAGTACTAAATTACGAGAATATGCGGCTGTACGACTGTTCAATCTATTTAAGGTACTCAGTGGCATAATTTCAGTTTTTAAGTTGAGATCAGTCATTGTGTATCCTACCGGAATCGAACAGCATTGTCGTTAAATTTTATCAAATTCGCTTAGATTCCAGTGTATCTTAGCAGAACTGGGATGCAGAAAGCATTTCAGATTCCGAGTATTGAAATCTGGTTGGATTCTTCAGAAACTTGGTGACATCTGAGTACCGAGAGTCCTGCTAAATTTGACCATGGAATCCGTCGGTTTTGTGACACTAGGACTCTAAAAAGTTCCAGCCGTAGGATTTGATCAAATTTCAACACTAACGATTCGAGTATCGTTACGTGTTCCAGTTGTCAACAGTTTTCCTATAGAATTCTGATGAATTCTAATAAGATCGGATTGAACTTTATCAAATACGACTGTATGATTCATTCTGCTGGAAATGGTGACTAAAGATTCTCGTTCATATCGACTACTTATAAAAGATCGCTCTTTTTCAACAACAATAACCTGAACTTGACAAAATTATTAGCTTCATACCTCTTATCACCTCTCCTAAAGTAGTGGTTAGATGCAGATCAAAGCCGACATAAACGGCTATCTATGATAGTGTAGAAAAAACAATAGCTTTATTTGCCGAACTAAAACAATCGACTGAAGCTTGAACTTCTACAAAGCTTTTATTTTTCTGACTGATTTGTGAATAGTATAGTTTGAAATTTTGTTTCTTTGTGTTTTATTGTATACCATGTCTTGCAAACGAGCATAAAAACATGAAACATCGACTAAATGAACTACTTGTAAAATGAGTTTTACATTTGCTATTTAAACTATATTATGTAATAGCAGAAATATCTATAGCACAGTAAAATCAGTCATTCAGGTTAGAAATATTTGTATCTAAGCAGAAGCATTTATTGAAGATAGTAAATATAAACGATGTAGTAGAATCATTTATTTAAGTGTAGCAATAATTGAATCCAAACTGAATTATTTAGAGTGTAAATATTTGCGCTCAAGTAGTATCCTTCATTCAAGTGTATTAATATTTAAATCTAGGCAGAATTATTCATCGCACAGCATCAATAGATGGGCTCTACTAGAACCATTCGTTCAACTGTAGAAATATTTGAATTCAAGCAGAAGAATTGATTGCATAGCATAAATACATGCGCTTTAGTAGAATTATTCATTCAAGCACAGAACTATTTGCGTCCTAGCCGACGTATTTAACATACAGTATCTTTGATAGTTGCTGAATTCACAGAGATGGACCATTTTCGTGGATCTGGCGATAACCAGACTTGACAGAAGTGGATTTCATTCATATTGATATATCCTCGTAGTCAAAATAAACGAAACACCGTGCTTTTTCAATTATGACTCTTAGCCTTGTTCGATTTATCTGACATTTTCGTCAAAGATGTATCATTGATTACTTGACTTACTCTAAAAATTTCACCTATATACTACGAGCCGTTGCTGAGAAAACTAAAAATATGTATCATGTACTCTTGCAGCCGTGAAAACAAAATTTGTTGTTTTACTGACTTTTTGTTATTTCAAATTTCATCTCGAGTGTACGGTGATAGTTAGTTAGCCCTAATTCATGGCAAAATAGGGAGACATCTTAAGATGTCTCTCTATTTTGCCACGCATCAAGACTAACTAACTATCATCATGAACTCGAAATGAAATTTGAAATAGCAAAAAAATCAGTAAAATAACAAATTTTGGTTTCACTGCTGCATGAGTACATCACACATATTTTTAGTTTTCTTAGCAATGGCTCGTAGTATATAGGTGAAGTTTTTAGAGTGAGTCAAGTAATCAATGATACATCTTTGATGAAAATTTCAGATTAATCGAACAAGGCTAACGGGCATAACTGGAAAAACACTGTGTTCCGTTTATTTTGGCCACGATGATATATAAAACATTTATTTGTGACTGTCTTTTGCACAAAAGATGTTCAGCTTGAGCTTATTTTTCATAGCACGTATGTGTTGCAATTTTTATGTTTATGCTACCTAATTCACGAAACGATATTTATTACGGATAAATATATTTAATATTGCGGTGATAGCTCTAAGTAAAAAAGCAAGCTTTTGATAAAAAGTTTTTTTTGTAATAGTATAGAAAACAATGTGCATAGTACATATTAATTTTGATTGGAAATACATACAAGCAAAAATCAAACCGATACAAAAAAAGTACATCGAATGATTATAGTACAATGTCTTGTAATTTTATATTTGCAATTGCCGATTCATAAGTAGGCGGTGCATTCATTTCTTTGAGAAGTGTTGTATAATTTATTGGCATTCCACCATAACTATTTTCTTCCCATTGAGATTGTTCCAATGATGACTCTGTTCCAATAGTAATTGGAATGCTTAAATGTATTTCATTAAGCCATTCATGAACTTTAACTTCTAATTTTAGTTCATAATGAATTCTAGTACGAATCGATGAATCAGAATAGGGTGCCATATAATGATATGTAGGTGGTAGATAACCAGAAGGTATATTTAAATCAAATATTTTATGAAATTTTGTCTTCGTAAAATCTTCTGGCAAGGGTAAATCCATTTTGAAAATAACTTCAGCATGATGATTTTGATCGATTTCTCGATGTTGAATTACTATTGCTTCAATTCCTTTTATTTTTAATCGTGTATGATTCTTAAGATGAATATCAAGAGAAACCTTTTCACCAGGTAAAATACTTTGCCGACTTAAATAAGCTTTAACATGTAAATGATTTCGATCATATTCAGCCATAGATTGTCTATCTTCATGTACATTAAAGATGTCCACACGTGGAAAAATTATCAATGGAAAAATTTGTTTTTTACATGATTTATACCATGTTTGATCAATAGTAATATATGCGTAATATTTTATATAAGGATATGAATCTGCTAATGAGCCTGATGATGGTGGTAAGTACTGAGGAAGAGTAAATTCAAATGGCCAAGAATGGTGACCACGATCAAGCATTACTTTATTCTACAAATACAATAAAAATTACAAAATGGTATGGTTGTTCATTTCACATTTGTTCAGATTACTACCTCATTATCTGTTGAATGAGCAAACGGTAGAGGAATATTTATAAATGGTAATTGATGGTAAACTGTACGATTTTGAATTTGTTCATGACCAAAACCATCATTACTGTATTGTAATTGTTGTTTTGTATAGCCGATTTCACCAATAAATCCAAATGAAACATGATTTAATGTTAATTTTGTATCAGTATTATGAAATGAAATAATTCCAGTTACTTTCTCACCAGCATAATAAAATGAATTCGAATGATTGAACCTCACATTAGCTATCTTACTCTTACCTATCCCCATTATTTTTTTGAATGACTGGTTGTAATAGATATGCGACCGTTAATATCGAAAAAAATTGTAGTCGTCTATTTATATTGTGTGTCAAAAAACACCATGCGAAGAGCAATCGCATAGAAAAAAAAAATCAGTGTTTTTATTCCTCTCGTTAAAGGCTAGTTGACATATCGCAAAGGTAAAAAGAACAAATGATAAATAATTTCAGTATATATTTGCGTACTTTGTGTTTCTTCGTAACTGTCTATGCAATGAACAAAAATGACAATCTTATTACGTTGTAAATGAAAGCAATCATAATGATTTGATATGACAGGTCACCGACCCGAAGAAAAAATCTGATATATGAAACGAATAAAAAGTGTTTACGAAATGTGACATTATACAAGCATGAGACAGCTAAAGTCAAATTTTTTGTTGATTAAATCGATCAAATTGATTTCGTAATTAAAAAATCGAAGGCAAACCGTTGATTTTGTTAACCTTTTGACAGCTCCCAATAAAAAACAAGCGTAATCAAAAAATTCGGAGAAATCAAAAACATAAGTTTTTTGTAATTATTATTGTAGACCTCATTTTCTAAATGCACGAATCGTCTTCTTTTCACCACTAAGGTCTACCTACAGATTTAATTTATAAGAAAATACTTTAAATCAAGATATGAAATGTGCAAAACCAAACCTTTTTGAATCAATGTTTTTTTATTTAGAATTGATAAGACAAATTTAAGACATCAATTATTTTCTTTCCTTGTTGTTATACTATGAACTGCTGTATTGAATAAATACTATCAGTTAACTCTATGTATAGTCAAGGAAGAAGCTTGATAGAAAACATGCGCAAATTTCTGATACTCATATGCATTTTGCTTTTGACTGATTCATCAATATAAAATTAAACGATCAATATCTCATTCTACGAGTTATATTAATGAAACGCTTTTTCATAAAAAGTAATTAAAAAATAGTCATTGTGATTAGCACATATTGATAAAAAATATAATTACAGACTTGCAGACGGCAAATTGAAATCAGTTAACGAAAGTAATTATTAATTTTATCTATGATACTGGTTTTCTTTTCGTATAGATTAATTTATTTGATAACATGAAATAAATCAATATACAAAACATATCATAAAATAAACTATATAAATCAAATAAATGTTGCTAGTCTGATTAGAACTAAACTTTCTCAGAATGTTGTTACGGCATATATAATGATATTCATTTAACTATTGATGCATCTTTTTTTTGGATTGATGATAGTACAATGGATGAGAAAACCTTGATGTCGTCTTTTTAACACTATCCTCAAAACAAAGAAAAAAGATATATGGAAACAAATATTTTTTAGTTTGTGTTGAAAACTGTCGATGAATGCAAGTCGAGACTAACGAAAAAAAAATGAGTAATAAAAACAAGACACATTCTGTAATCCTTTGTTATGTGAAACCGAAACGCTTTAATTTTTATATGAAGATGACTAAAACTTGGAATTTTCTCTACCATCAAAAAAATCAGCTCAATAGTTTAAAAACACGTAACAGTATTAATACAACAGTAATTCTTTCTGTTTTAAAAAAAAACCAATCTAGCAAGTTTTAGAATTTGATTGTATACGATCTAACTATTGAATAAAATCAAAATCCAATTACATGTCGATAAAAACTATATAAGTTACAGCCAATTTAGAGTCATCGAGAAGCAAATAAATTCGCAAGTCATTAAAGGTATCTTTGTTACAGTCTAACAGTCTCATTATCGATAATGCCGAAAATATATTCCATTGGATCTTTGCAATTGAAGATCCCACAAGAGGGCTGTGAAATTCCATAACCAGTACTCGTAATTCTTCTGCAGTTAACTTAAGCCCTTTGCATAGTTCAGGTGGCACCGAAAGATACTCATTTTCTGCTTGTCGATAGAATCCTTTTGTGAAGAATATACCAACTGTTTCACGTTGTTCGTCTACAGTATTGTTTTCTCCACCAGCATGGTAGAGGCTACCTAAAACAATCGTCATATCACCAGGTTCTAATTCGGCGGGTACTGCTTCCTCTACTAATGGCATGCGATCTTCGTCTTTCCACAAGTGTGAACCCGGAATGACAATGGTTGCTCCATTGTTCTTGTTTGCTTGCGTTATAGCAGTTACATAGCTAATCATCACTGGCCGATCACACGGTCGCGTATAATAGTCGTCGTCATCGCGGTGAAGTCCTTCTTGTCGGCCACCAGGTTTTATACGAAAACCGATATCAGAAGAGATGAGCGGCTTTGAAACAGCTTTGCACTTTTCAGAGCCACAATAAAAGGTATGGGTTGATGTTAGAAGTCTATTAGCTACATTCAAAAACAATGGATGCATAGCCATATCAACACAAGCTCGTGAGGGTGTGGGTGTGGGTGTCAGGTGTCGGGTATAGCTGTGGGTGGGTTAGGGTTGAAATAAAACCAGCATTCACCCACACCCACACTCAACGGTATAGCACGATTCGTGTCTACATAATAGAAAAGTCAAATATATATTGCATTTAATTTCTTGTGAAATCGTAATTATAACGACGAGAACATCAATTAAGATTCCATAATTACTGGAAAGTTGTTGTTGACGATGAAAACCGATGAGTAAAACAGAAAAATAGCGGTTTTACAGTTTAGTCTTTTTCTTCTTTGTTGTATTAAACACAATATCGCTTTTAAAGTATTAAGTTCATTTTAAACAATAAAACAGACCATTCACTTGTTAGAAGGAGTGTACTCGTAAGAGATGCATTTGAACAAACCAGATAAAGAAAGTAAATGTTAAAAGTATGAAAATCGGAATCATAGATGTCCAATTTCTTGAAAATAATAACAAAAACAAATTCTACTCGTGAATCCGATTTCGAATAAGCTTAATCAAGTGTTAATCTCATTGTCATATAATGGTTCTTCACTGTTTAGGATTTTCAATCAAAGGAATTTTCTCGAGAATACGACGAACAAAATCACATTCATCATTCGATGGTGTTTGAAGCACATTGCAAATGAAAGGTTTGCTCAGAATGTCGTTGTAAGAGTGGGGTCGCTCGTAACTATTTTTTTTCAATCTGAAAAGTGAACATCATCATAGAGTCACGATTCAAGGAGAGCTACTCACAAGTGCAGAATAAGTTCTTGTGCTTCGTAAGAGATCGTCGTCGGAACTGTCGGTACCCAATTTAAAATTTTGAAGGGTATTTCATTTGGTTTCCAATCGGCAAACGGATGTCGGCCGCTGACAATTTCCAGTAAACTAATACCCAATGCCCACATATCATCATGAATGGCGCAAGGTTCAGGATCTGGTGACAAGTACTCAAAAGTACCTTCAGCAGTATGAAAGTCCAATTTTTCAGTCAGATCGACACAAATACTAAAATCGCACAGTTTAACTACAGCATCTTTGTTGATAAGCATATTTGCAGGTTTGACATCTCGATGAATAATTTGTTTAGTTAACAAAATATCAAGTGCAGAGGTGATCTGTATAAAAAAAAAAACATTAGAAACTGTAAATTAATGATCATAGTCCTACATTATGAATAATGCGGCGCACCAAAGGGTCGAGTTTGTTAAGAGCAACTTCATCGATTGAATGCATCGCTTGGTAGAATCTTTTTACTGATGCATCCATCCACTCCATGCAGATGCACAGCTGATTAGAGACCTAGAAAAATGATATGGTATAGCATAAAAGCTAGATAAGTAGAAGAAATCGATATATACGAGATCATTCACTGAGCAGTAATAATTGATGAGATATGGTGTACTTCCAGAACCAATCTTTTTCATTATTGCCAATTCAGTATCCGCTGACGAGCGTCCATTTTCGTCAACTCGACGTACGATGCGCTACAAAGTACAGATTTTTTTTAATCAAGTGATATGCGTATTGTTGACAAAACAGAAGGCAATTTGGTTTTCTTTTTCTATGACTATGATGAGCATAGTTCAAAAACGAACCTTCTCACTTTTCAAAGAGGTCCTTTGCTTTAGAAACTTTCTAATCTCCAAGCAATCATCTGAGTTCTGAGGGCTGTTTGAAGTTGACATAAACGAACTTTATAAGTACAAGAAGATCAAATAGCGTTTTCCTAGATGAGAGTGAAATGTCTTTTGAATTTGAGACGTTTCAGTGGGTTCTGGTTTGTAAACAAAAGTTTATTGAACAGTTGATATATTTTCTGTATGAAAGCTACGTACTTTGACTGCCATACGATCTTCAGGTAAACCCTCGATAGTGGCCAGATGAACTGAACCGAAGTTTCCTTGACCGAGCAATGGAATTTCATCAAACTGTTTGACGTTGATTGAAATTATTTTATTGGTGTAGGTGAATTCTGTTGAACCTTCGAGTAGTTCCGATCTAGAGACAGTGTTGAAAAATATTTATTTATTTTTTTGATCCAAATGTCTTACACGTTGTGGTTTGGTTCGTTCAGTTCTGGTTCTATAAGAACGGGAAACTGAGTCCAATTCAGCTTCACTAAAAACGAATGATATATAATTTTTTGAGTAAGAATGAAAGAAAAAATGTGATGAACTTTGCCTTCAATGCTCTTCTTAACTTATGGCGAAATGTATGTGTAACAGTTTTTTCATTTTTTGGGCTTCCTTCCTTGCTTTTATTCAATATCCAAATATATTCTTCTCTTCTTTTTTCTATACCACCACTCTACTCATAGAGGAAGAGAGAGAGAAATGGTAGTGGTATACAATTGGTGGCCACCTTTTTGAGAACGATATGAAAAGATCGCTTAACTCTGGCGTTTTTGGCGTTATTATCCGTCTCTTATCTATCACCTAATTAGAACGATTTTCAAGGTTTCGCTAGCTAGTCTTATAGAATACAAAATTAGCAACAAAATGCACCATGGCATCTTTATTTTGAACTAAGTGGCAGTAACTAGACAGTCCATTCTGTTGGGAGACATGTGCATGAGAGATGTATAAAAAACCTGTTTGTACTTATTTTCTAATAGAAAAATTCGATTGCCATTAGAAAGTATGTTATTGGCCTTTGTAGAAAACTGAACATGTCTCTCATTAAATAAAATCGAAAGACTTTCGTTGTGTGTGATTCAATATAATAGACGTTCAAGTCGTTGGAAATGAGAAAAGGTTTTCAAATCAAGCTACATATGACGATAAAACAGGATATATATGTTTTTAGCAAACTGCTGTCTTTGCGAAATACTATCTTGGAGGCAAACTATAATAAAAGAAGATCAGTAAGTGTACTTCTACTTAAAAAGTCATTAAACATGCTGTTTTATTTTCTTCAAGCAACAAGCTGTATGATATTCAGTCCTTGAGTTTAACTTAATGTATTGTATTTCATAATTTTCATCAGTTAAATAAATTAAAAAATAAAATGCAATCAAATGAGATATATTCTGAAGATTAACAAACTCAATTTTAGTTTTTTTTTAAGGCGTATCATTGTATTTAAATTTTAATGGAAGCATAATTAACTACTATTTATTTTTTTCAAACTTTTCTGTCACTAGAGAAGTGGAAAATAGGGATGCATCAATATTAATCCTAGGGATTTATCAGAACGGCTCTTGAAAAACTTGAAAATGCAATCGGTGCATCCCGAAGGAAAATCAACGCCTCAACGGTCGAGTCCTGAAGATAGTTCTAAGAAGAATTCTACCTCGTTTACGTTGAACAGTCTTCATTGGAATTGAGGCGTACTTTGGCACTGCCGTTTGTTCTGTATGTAGAATTTGTCGATCAATACTGATATTGTTACGCTGATCAGCGTCAATGAAAAATTGTTGGAGGTGTACATCTTTGTGGTTGTTAGTCTGTTCAATTTCATTATCTAAATTAGACACAACATTGACCTTTTTCTGTCATGCAAAGAACTCGCTGCCAAATTCACCTGATTGAGACTGCTGTGAACCGACATGATTATTGACAGGTGAAGCTATACCTATCGATGCAGGAGCAACGTTACTTGACAACGGTATTGTTTCCCCAATACGGGCACTATCGACCAACTGTTTCACACATTGTGTTTCCAAAGCTAAAATAAACAAGATAGACAAACGTGTTTTTGAATAGTATCTTGACGCGAAAACCTGCGCAGTGAACTTACGAGAATCGACCGTCTGCTGATCACATATTTCTTCGAAAGATGTTTGAAGTTCATTTTTAGAAGAAGTATTTGGTTCTATGCATTCTCCATTCGTACTGCTGTCCATAAACGACTGTTGTTGGTGTAAATGGTCCATAGAATTATTTGTGTATGTGGTTTTATTATATCTGCAAAATAAATTCGTCTGAAACTGAGACTTGATGATAAATATCACATTAATCAGTTTTGTTGTATAGACTGACTAAATACAGCTACACTGGTGTTGTAATTTTTCTTGGATAGTCGCACCCAACGTTTTCCAATTGCAGATATGACTTTCAACGTGCGATTCGACGAGAGCATCCGATTTTTACTTTCTTTTACTCGGACGTTTTACATGTTTTTTTTTATCATAAAAAAATTTACAAGATATTTTTGAAGCCTAAGCTTTTTTTCTATGCTTTTTTATTTTACATCTATAAAGGATATCAACCCTTTAAGAAGCGAACTCCTTGAATCAAAACAGATGAATACCAGATCGGGATGTCTTTTATTGTAAAATTACGTTCTGTATATGTAGCTGGACGCGAGAAAAATGTCCATTATGATAAACAAGATAGGAAAAATCCAACTAGGAAGAAGAATATAAAAAGGAAAAAACCCATCTTTAATAATACATAAGGCAGAAAGAGAAAAATACATCTGAGAGGAAAGAAAAGAAAAAAGGGAAAGTGCTTTGAAAGAAATATACGGTAGAATAGAAACATCACGGGGTGGAGCTTGTTCATTCCGTGTCAACATGGATGAATTTCGGGCGAAGGTGGTACATTCATGTTAAAAATGTTCCGTCTATGGACTCATTTGTAATGACCATTCGAAACTATACCTAAATTGATTCTACGCTCAACTTTCATGTTGACTAATTTCTTTTGCTAAACTTCACAAAGAACACGTTATATATGGACAAGTAATTCGTTCACAGAGATTTTTGTATTCACTTTGACAACACCACAACAAATGAGAATGAAAAAAATTCTCACTAATATTTATATTCGAGTTCCTTGGAATAAGAACTCAACGTCATGAAAGAAAGACAAGTAAGAAGGAGACGAATATAGTCATTGATAAAGACAAACAATAAAAGGTAAATATTGTGCACTTATATGAAGTATATGATGCAATATTATTCCCATGGTGAAGGCTTGTAGACAACTAACAAACACGACAATAGATACCAAAAGCAGTTAACAAAAGAAAAATTAAAAATATCGTTCACACACACGATGTGAATGATGCAATTTTGTATTACATAGAAATTTCCAAATAACATACAAACACAAAATTATGCATCGAAAGTATTGCAAAAAGAAAAAGAGAGAATGAAAAAAGTTCAGACTTTCGTGAAATACATGATTTTGTATTTCATCCAATGTGATAATCTTTACACAGCAATAACTACGACAACACACGCCAAAAGAAAATGAAAAAGAAAAAGAACAAATGGGAGAAAAGAATCGTACACGTGTACGTGACACAAGATACACTGTTTTGTCCTATTATGCATCATACGAGACATAAACTATCTTGCACTATCGAATATCTTGGATTTTTCTGTTCTGTATTATTATCAAGCTTCTTCTTCTCAGTTCTGAATCCAAAACTTTAACATATTAGAAAAATTTTCCACTGTTAATGCAGCAATTCGTGGAACCTTTCACTTATAAATATATACTAACTTTTCAATACAAAGAAAAAACAAAACTCGCAACAGTGCGCAGGAGTTTTACGAATGGTTTTTGAATTATCAGGTGAAGTCTCGATAAGTACACTTTTATCAGAATTAGAAAGTAGTCCATTTTCGTCGATTCACATATCGCGATATGAGTTCATTACTTAAAAAGAGTCTGAATTAGACGCGACTCGTTGTATACACAACTATTTGTTGTAATTAATTTGTTTATTAAAAATTCAATTGTTTACTATCTAAATTGGCAGAGCATGAATATGGGTGGGAGTGTTAGTGAGAAGAGGAAAATACCGACATTCACACCCACATCCTACCCATCCACATTGTCACCTTCGGAAAGGAATATCGTTAGGATGAGAACAAAAGCGGAACAGGCACTAAAATTATTTTGCCATGTATTTTTGATGGTTTTTTTGCATCACGTGCCCTTTACTTGGCAAATTCACTTGTTCTCAAGCGAAGAATAAATGATGACAGAATCGTGTACGTAGTTTAACAAACGATGTTAAATCTTCGACATGTTTCGAAATGTTGCATATTCTATTTTACGGAATAGAAAAACTTAAAATAAAATTTCCTGTCAATGATTTCGGTATTCGATCATTGAACTTCACGTAGCATCTCATAGAACAATATTAATGAAGAACGCATATCTTAACTTTAACTCTTACTTACTCGTGCATCTCATCTATCATCATTATGCATTCCAAAATATGATGATGGAGATTCTGCAGAAATTCTAGTATTTGAAATTAAAAAATGCATTGATTAAACAAGCCAATATACCAGAATGGGATGCGTACGATTAAGAACAATAGGTGAAATTCAGTCATTCATCCTTTGATAAGTATTGTAAAGAAAATGCACATATATATAACATACCGAGTGTCAACACGTTACCTGGTTAAAACAATTCACTACCAACGATTATTGTATGTATGCTATAGAGACGACAAGTAAGAAGATAAATCAACAAAGAATGAGCTTGTTGATTGGCTACGAAAGCAATGACCAAATGTACAACAATCGTTAAAAATCTCTTATGGGATTATTATACGGTCCAACTGATAACTTCTTAACTTTTTGAAGCAAACTTTTTTTTTATAAAAGACATAAAACTATAGTGTTAGAAATGGTTATAACTTGGAAACTTTCAACCACCATGACTACTATACAGTTTCTTATTTTAACGACAGAAATCGAGAATTTTGAGATAGGAAAAGAAAGAAAGAACATTCAAAGAATCTATTTCGATAAATTGAAAGATTTTCGTTTTTATTCAAGTTTTTAAACTGTAGATGAGCTTCGCTCTCAAAATTTGAACAAGACGGTTTTACTAAATGATAACACGAGAGAATAAATGAACTTCTTTTTTCTCATCAAATAACGATGCTTGCTCCTACAAATTTTTGCTTCACTATAATTACAACATATCCTGCTCTACACTTGTTTTATCTTTCCGACAGTTTTATATTAAAAAAAAAACATTATTTATTTCGAAGTCAAATAGATGATGTATCATTAGACAATATTTAGTTAACTATGAACTTATATCACTACTTTATGTCAAAAAAATAACATTATTGATACATAAAAAATTTCACTTTAGAAAAATCCAAGAAAATGGTTAGTAGTATTCCAGAAAGGTTAAAATCAGTCGTCCAAAAACAAGATCAACAGGTCACCAAAAGTGACTATTGATATTTATAGAAAAAGTTAGTCTGATAATCTTATAAATGGTTTAGATCTTTCATTGAATTTTTTCTAAAAAAAAGTCTGAGATGACAATATTCTCTCAAGGTTGATAAAACTACCATAACATTGAACTATATTTCTGCATTTCGAAGTGTCTTAGTATTTGAAAAATTCTGACTTTATGTCGGAATAAACTTTAGACAATTAGCAATGGGATTTACCACATCGAATCTAGTATTTTTGACTGAAAAAGAAATAGACAATTCATCTTTAATCAGGGTATATACGTTTTTTTTTCGTTCCTATCAAAGCAAATTATTTGCACCAAAACATACAAACCATGAATCATTACTAGCAATAGGCCTGTTAACATAGTCGATATCGGCCTTTTTTCAATGTCACTCTTTATTTTTTTTTCCTTTTCTGTTATAGTATACAACGTGCTGATTTGAGGAGCAACATACTACCTATGCTTGCGTGTCATCAGAAGAAGAAAGTTAGCTATATCTTTTAAACGTAATTTTGTGTTATGTTTGCAAGTGCTTTATTTTTTCGAACACACGACTAAATTTCGTCTATAGTGATAAGTATAGTTTTCAAACGCAGAAATATAAAAATTTCATGCAACTGAATGAGACTTTCGTCTCTTCAAGACAGAATCGCAGATAAATTGTACGATCATGAGCTGAAATTTAGTGTACGTACTGAGATGCTCGATGTTGCACAGAAAATTTTTCATTACACATACTCTTACTCGTGCAACTAAAATAATTATAGTGCAAGTCAGAGACAGACAACGAAATCTACTCGAACCCTAATCCGAAAGATCCGGTTCTATTCGATTTCTGATTTCAAGGTCGTTTAGAATGTTCAAAGAAATCAAAATAATTCTTCGTGTTCTCTATCGCAATTTCTGCTAGTGAGATATTTATATTTACTTTCGAGTTGTACACCAAATATAGATTCATGCTTTGATTTTCATAAAAGAAAATTAACACTAGCTTTGCGATTTCCTTTTTTTTTTCATAACACCTTACTAATGACAACAAGCAAGTTTCGAAACTGTTGGATATCTTGGAGTTACAGAAAAGTGTTTCATAAATTTAGAAAACTATAAAAAACTTGAATGCATCATAAACTTCCGAAGATATGTTGTATTTTTTAAATTTCAATATTGTTATCAATTAGATGCGCTTCCAAGTTTTAAAATTCATACCTATAGATAACTCAATGGATGTGAAAAGTAGCGATTTTTCTATATGTCTAGTTTATAGCTTATTTTAAACATCGATAATAATTTTCATTTCTTTGCTTTAGTATCAAATGAGTCGGCATTTGACAAACATTGCTCGATTATCGAATTGTCTGAAAAATGTGTGTGATGGACACCAACTGTTCAATAAAAGTCATTGTAGAAAAGTAAGACTAATGTGCAAAAGAACATTTCATTATGCAGCTACCTATCTGCAAGGAATTCAAATAGAATGGAAGTTCGTAGCAAGACAAACATGACATTAGACCTCTGTTTTACTGGAACAACAGATCATTGGATAGATTAACAGGTTTCATCTACAAATGCTCACTGTTTTTAGCTAGAAAGTTTACTTTAGATTTAATAATAAACCGTATACTTGGATCAGGGTATTGAGAAGAAAAATAATAGTATAAAGAAATAATCGAAAAGAATTGAATGTGAAGTTTATTTTAATTAGAACTAGCGCATAAAAATTATGCTTTTCCTTCTTATTTAGTTTCATCAAAATAATTCCAATAAGATTAATTCTCTATCATCAATCAATTTATGTTTAATGAAGGATGAACATCGCAATGAAGTATCATCCATGATTATTGAGTCTTTTTTTCGTGATGAACCAATTAATAAACGTTTATCATTTGATTTACCTAAAGAACCTGCTGAATTTACAAATATGTCTGTTGAAAAAGCGCTTCAAGATAAATGTTCATACGTGGCTATCGATATTAGTCAACAAAAAGTAATTGGTGTTTCATTAAATGTAATCGAAAATATGAATAATGAAGTAGACATATTCGATAGTTCACAATTTAAATCTGAAAAGTTACGCTATGTTTTCAAACTATTAGGTGATGTACATGGTCAAATCGATTTATTTAAAATCTTTAATACAGATCGTCTCTTACACTTATTAATGGTATCAGTAGATGAAAAGTATCGTGGGTTAAATTTAACTAGACAAATGATGAATTTAAGTATTGAACAGGCAAAAACATATGGTATTAAAGGAGCATTTGCTGAAACAACTGGTTTATATTCATCCAAAGCAATGCTTAAAATGGGTTTTAAAGTATATAATGAAATCATCTATGCTAAGTATGACGAAAAACGTCTATCGAATCTTGGTGTTCATGATCGTTGCTTACTTCTGGCAAAGTTATTATGAAATTTTCTCTATGAAAAAAAACTTATATTGCACAACTACTTTTCTTTATCTTTGATTTTTCAATGACTGGTTTTTACTTTTGATTGTCTAAATCATTGTTGCAGAAGAATTAGAAATATTTGGATGCAGTCTCTTAAGTCTTTTATAGTGCTTTGTGTTAGAGTAAAATATATGAAGTTTTTCGTTGAAAACCTGTAGTGAATAAAAACATTTAAAGCATTATAAGATAGAGTAAAAACATGATCTATAATATTGTAAAAGACTCTCAAATTTGCATTAATTTAATTGAAAGTTGAGAAAAAAATCTCGGTCGTCACACTGTAGTAAATGTCTGGAATGAGAAATTCTACAAAAGATTGTATTAGTATCAGAAATCGTAGATTAACTTTTAGTAAACTCTTCAAGAGATTATATGGCTAATTATCTATTTTGAAGGCTTTATTACTTCATGCTTCTTTTTTAGTGCAATGTAATTCAACATTAGAACTTTAGTTCGGTTGTTCTTTAGACTCCCAGCTATGACTATGATACCGATTACACACATTTCATCATAGCGTCATTTCAATACGTAGAGTTTTGATGGATATTGCTGAAATTTATTCAGAGAATACTAGCAAATTTGATTTATGTAACAACTCTGAAAACTATTTTGCAATAAATCTATCATCAACGTTCAAAACCGTTCAAACAAAGTCTCAACAGCCATCGGCTCTTGTTTTGTCGGAATCATTATTGAACCAATGATGTTATTCAGAATATAATCTTAGAAATACTAATTATCTAATGTCTTTTTGACGATGAAATATTCATAGTCAATAAAATAAAGTAGAACAAAACTGCAAGAATTTCTATTCAGTAGTCCATGCATTTGAAGGATCGCTTAAAATTCATCCAAGAGGTTATACTACGATTAAATCTTCTCTTATAGCAGCAGTTATTCAAACACACGTTAACGAATCTTATCCCACTGCCGACCAAAATCTGAATGATTGAAGTGCACAGCGAACTGATGCTGTTAGCTTGTGTTACAAAAGTGCACTATCCAGAAGTATTATAAATAAGATAGATCCCATGATCCTCAATGATAACGATAATATTAACGTAAGATCTTAATCAATGTTGAGTACCTTACTACTAATATAAATTTGACTCGAATCGGATCATGGTTAGTTAAGATATGAAAAATTTTTGTGCAATAATACAGCAAAACGAATAATAGTACTAATGGCATATCTCTAGTCAGGAGACCTGGAAAACAAAACCCTTGTAAGATATTTAATAGCTTATTAAGATCTATTGTTTGAGCACATAATCAAAAAGTGATTTGATAGCTCTGAACATTCCCTTGGTAGTCTTTTTTTCTGATTTTGCCAAATGTAGTAATATCATAAATATTGAACAGAAGTGAGTTGGGAAAAGATGGAATATCATTTAAAAAACAATCGATAATATTATCAAATAAATTAATGTTGTTTTATTAAAGAATAAATCTATAGTCTCAATCAACCTTTGATATACATTCTTTATTTCATTTTGTTTTTCACCATTTATCAGTTAAAGAGTAAATACATGAATGTTACCATCGATCATAAATTAAAAACAGCTACTATCTGATCGATTGTTTGACATCTTTCGCATTTTTTTCATTATTCATGATAAAACATGGGCATAACTTTTTCCAATGTACTCAAGTATAAAATCACTCATTCTATATATAGAAATGATTAATATTTAGCATTTATAACGATAAACATGAAAAAGACAATAAGCTAATTAGGAAATTTTCAACTTTATGGCTGACTCATAGTATTACTTATATAAATATTTGTAAGTATGAATCATGTAAGTTAGATATATTATCAAAATTTAGCTGTGTAATCGATTCTATCAAGTTGATCATCAATGTGCTCTTTGGCATATCATTCGTTTAAATGGTAAAATTCTTTTTTTACATAAGTGTAACGAAAACTTGAATCAATAGACAATGAAAAACTCTTGCTAGTATGCAAGCCGATTAGGAAAACACTTGAAACAATTATTAGTAATTGTACATTTACTGATGCGGATGAATTTCGACGAAATTATATTTTAATAATGAATGACAATGCCATAGTACAAGTTAGAAGAAAATCTAAGCGTGCGCATAATCAACATATTACTGAAATGAAAGATATCAATAAACAATATCAAGAATTTCTATTTGCACTTGTTGTATTTATTGACTGTGTTTGGAAACAATACAAAATCCGACTACGCATTCACATCCAATATATAGTTACATTCCTAATTATCAATATGAATGTAGTAGTGTACCTTCACATATTTGCCATAGCCGTAAGGATATTGCTTGCTATAGTTTCGAGATGTGCTGATTATCAAGGGTGTGAGGTGTCGGTGGGGATGAGTTGAAGACTCACACCTTTAGAATACACACTGTTGAAGCAAAATTCTGAATACTAGTTCATACTGTTTGCTGAAGGATGTTCTAGATTCCTTTTTTGTTTCTCAAAGACTGAAATAATACTGTTCATTGGAGATAAAAACGTAATGTTTCAATTAGTAGGACATCAGGATATCGCTCAGCGGTTACTTACTTTAAGAAAAATCGCTATGTTGTATCCGGCTATGAAAATATGCATCTGTACAAGAACTAATAAACCTATATCGAAATTGGTTCACACATGTAATTTTCAATACAATTTTCTGAGTTATCATGTCTGTTTTTCTTTTTCTTCTTCTCAAAAACTTATTTCTAATAGTTAATCAATCATATATTACTTTGTTTGCTTTATTTTTCTGAATAGAATATTAATGCAATATCCGAACTTCGTCAGGCAATATCTCATAATATCATGTATGGAATGAAACATTAGTATTGCACTACATGGAAATATATTATAATTAAATTGATTAAAAAATCTAATTATAATAAAAGTTCTAAATTCGACTTAAAATAAATTGTTTGATAAAAATAAATTTGTGCTTTATTCCACCATGAAAGATTACATCCTTCTAAATTAAGTGTCGTTAATGATTGATTATGTCTGATTAGATTAATAATTGAATGAGTAGATGAATTATTAATTCCTAAATTTCCTGCAAGACATAACCATTGAAGAGTTGAATTATAATTAATAAGTACATCAACTAATACATCCATTCCTTCGTTACTAATTCGATTGTAAGATAATGTTAATTTAATTAAAGTTTGATTTGTTCTTAACATATCAGCTAATAATCGAACACCTGTATCCGTAATAGAATTATTATTAAGATCAAGTCGTTTAAGACATGAATTTGTTGAAAGAGCATAAGCAATATATTGAACACCTGAATCACATATAAGATTATTTCGAAGTCCTAATGTTTCTAATAACGTATCATTATGTAATACGGAAGAAATTATTGATGCACCTTTTGATGTAATACCTTTATTGAATAAATCAAGATATGTACATCTTTTATTAATAATTAAAGCTTTTACTGCAATAGCTATATCTTGATTTTGAAATTGTCGTTGTTGTAAATTAATAGTTGAGAATGGAAGAAATTCACCATGACTTTCTTCTAAAATACAATATTTATCACATGTATTTTCAAAATTATCTTCAATTTGATTATCTGATGTTAATAATTCAGATGAACTTGGTGTTAAATGAATTTGAAGTTCTTCACGTAATCCAATCCAAGGACAATTAATTTCTTTAGCTGGACAAGTAACAATTGCTTTTTGACATAGATTATTAATATGATTTTGAATATTTCCTCGTTCTATATTATTTTGACCACATAATTTACATTTAACTTGAATTTGATCAAGTGATGTAAGAATAGATGGATCAGTAACTGGTATTATATGTTCTTTTGAATGTGATTCGTTACATGAAGAACATCGTAAGTAATTATTATCCAGCGGTTGTTCTATACACTGCCGACAAAATATTTGTTGACATGGAATTATGACAGGCTCAGTAAATGGTTTGTTACATATTTGACATACTAACATCTGATCGATTGATTCTTCATTAATATATTCATAATAATTATCGATTCCCGTTGCCATATATACAATATTATAATAGATTTATGTCTTTTACGAATAATAAAAAGTCAAATTTATTTATGTTATTTAATCGTTCTTACCAACAATGTTGTGCAAATATGGGAGATAAGATAATCTGTACGAAAAAGTGTAATGAAATCGAAGAATAATTACTTATCTTTCTAGTTAAAAGTAAATGAAAATAGAACTTTGTATCATCTTGTTTTTGTATTCAAAATAAAAGTAAGATTGTATAGAAAATTCAGATTTTTATTGAAAACTTTCAATAAATAACGTAGCTCATCATCAGGCAATTAACGGAATATTCTAACAATTATTCGAAGTTTTATTATTAAAATCTACCGTAATTCATCCGTTTGTTTTTCATTTAAAATTAATAATAAGATCTTTTGAATGGATCTTATCAATATTAATGAAAAAAAAAACATATTGATTCATTAATCACTTTTTTTACATCAATAAACTGATGAATCACGATAGGTTTTTAAAATAAAAATCAAAAATTGTCTAAATTTTCTGATGATGATGCATATTATGTAATAAATTTTCTATACATTCTCACTTTTATTTTAAAGTTTGAAAGAAAAAAAAAACAAAATCTTAAATACAAATCAAACAGAATTATCTTTGTTTATCATGACCTGAAAATTTGCTCTTTGTCCCCTGTTGATAATTCACTCCCTTAAAAGTGCTTTAACGATGATAATTTTTTTTTTCTTTTCTAATATATGTCTCTGATAAGCATGAAATTGACATTCACAGTTACATGTAAGCGAACAGATTGCAATAGTTCGCATCGATGGACAAAGTATACGATACACAGTTGATGTAGTCAATACAACAAAAAAAGAGAGTGTACTCGATATAACTGTATAAGAGCGAGCTCTATAAATCTCGCAGCTGACGTTATTTAAAATGAATAAAATTATATTAAACGTAATTTTTCGATTGGCACCAGCTTATATGATAAAATCTGTACGACGCAATAGACTCTCTCATCTTTACATTATCGTTATTAAGCAAGAAAAAAACGACACAGAAAGTCATCGATATCTATAATGGTCGGTTTTGATAAATTACCTATTGAATTAATTCATAAAATTTTCAATTATCTTGAAACTTATGATATCTTCGTATCTTTTTTTAATATCAATACATATATGAATACAATATTAAATACTTATCAAAGATATAACTTAAATTTTAAGTCAATAAGTATGTCTCATTTTTATATAACTCTTCATTATATTAATCCTTCTCAAGTCATTTCGTTAACACTTTCTAATATGTATAATACACCGGGTCAATTTCAATTATTTTTTTCATCATTTTCTATTACACAATTTATTCGACTTGAATTACTTCAACTAATGCAACCATTAAATTCAATAACTTTAAATCAAATTTTAATTGATTTACATACACTTTCATCTCTTAAATCACTTTCAATTATTCATTGTCAACCATCAAGTGTTAATCAAGAAACATGTTTACTACTTGCTTCATTAATTAATTCTTCTACATCTCTTCGTCGATTATATTTATCTGGTGCATTAAATACAATATTTCATTATAATATAACTTCATCAATAAATGATCTTTATTTTAATAATAATATATTTAATACAATAATATTAGAAAATATTGTTTCACGAATGCCTTATTTAAAATCATTGAATACAAGCATAACATTAAATATGAATTATACTCATCTATCATCACTTATTCATCTAACTCGTTTAACAATGACTATATTTATTAATATGAATAATTCAGATTTAAAAATTTTATTAAATAAAATGCCATCACTTATTTTTTTTAATATAACAGCAAATGGAAAACAATGGTTCAATGGAAACTATTGGGAACAATGTTTACCATTAAATCTTCGAACATTTCAATTTAATTTTTGTACACAATCTATACATATTAATCAACAAATAGTTTTAGAAACATTTCAAACACAATTTTGGCTTAAAATAAAACATTGGTATGTTATGTTCGATTGTCAAATGAATCCAACTATGACACATATTTATTCATTACCTTATTGTGATACACAATTTTATTATCGACCATCAATGAATCCTAGTCGTAAATTTCGTTCATCAGCACCTATCGTTAAACCATATATGAATAATGTAAAGAAACTTACAATAGATTTTTCAACATTAATCACTGAAGTAAAAATGATATTAATGAAAAATAAAAAGCTTTTATTTTTTTATTATTATTTTTAGTCTAATTCATCATTAGCATCTACTCATTATTTTTCAAATATATCTACATTAATTTTAGTTGATAATGAACATCATTTATCACTTCAATTATTACTTAATTTTCTTGAATCTATTATTGATTTTACTCAAATTATTGAATTAAAATTAGGACAATTTCATCATTCAGATTTTATACATCTTTTATATAATCGTTTACCACAATTATATTCTCTTCGAATATCTGAAACAATCTATAGTAAATTAGAAATGCTTAATTTTAATAATATACGTTCTTTAAATATCTGTGATTGGTTAACAAATATCAATAGAATGATTTTTATGTTTCCTTCGATTCAATATCTTTGTGTACGATCAACAAACTTTGAACATATGCGACAAATGATTACATTATCAGAAAAATCATTAAGAAATGTTACATTTAGACATATCAATCATGAATTACAAGAACAAATAGTAAAATGGTTATATGAATATTGTGATAAACATCGACAATTTTCTTATAACATAGATGAACATATGAATTTACATATTTGGTTAAGTGATTCAATAGTATAATTATTAGAAATTTATTATTATACTAAAACGACAGTCTATTCTTTTTTATTCATTTATAAATTTTGTTGCAACATTTCTTTAAGAATAAATACTTTTCAGAGCAATGTTTGTGTTTTTTTTTAGTTTACAATGGAATTGTTACAACAACAACACTCCATGAAGGAACAGTAATTGAACATGTTCCATTTATAACGAAAATAGAACTAGTAATAATAGATGCAGCATTTGGATTTGATAGAGTATTTTGTATTGTTGAAGGATCAACACCTGAACCAGCTGATAGAGTATAAACAATTCCATCTGAAGATATCGATGATTTCTTAATTTGTGTATTGACAAGAATATCTTTTGAATCGACATTAGCAAATTTAATAATGAAAGTATTATTTTTAGTATCTTTAGTAGCTATAAAATAGAGTTTATCAAGTTTACCATCTCCTTCTTCACCTTTGTGAACATTTTGTTGTTTCTTTTTATTATTATTTTTGTAAGCTGTAGAATTCAGAACAATATTACCAACATGTTGTCCAAACATTTGTTGAGCAAGATATGATGTTGATTTAACAACCAAACTCGCATTGAAAAGAATGAAATTAGGTGTCCATTGTGTATTGTTAATATTTTGAAGAACTGGAGCATAACAACCACCAATAACAATATCAGAATTTCGTTCAAAACCAATACGATAGACTGATTCGGCAACTGCTGATTTTATTGAAGGATATTGAAGTCGTCCAAATTGAGAAGAATTCTTAATCTCTAGATCATCATTATTATCTACTGAAAATTCACCAATCAATACTTTTGGACCTAATCGAGACAATTTTTCATAATGACGAAAATTCTCAATGAAATATAGTGGACCTCGATAATGATGATCATCTGTAGCTGGTGGAGAACGAATATATGTAGTTGTTGTGGCAATAAAAGTAATATTAGGATAGCGTTTAGATAATGTATTATAGTAAGCAGGCCAACGATAACTATATGTGATTAAACCAAGACCAAGCCAATCTTCATTACCAATTTCGACATATTTTATATTAAATGGTTCTTGACGGCCAAGACTAGCTCGAAGTGCGCCCATTCGATTTTTATGAGCAGGAGCAGTTAAAAATTCAATTTCATCAATAACTTCATCAATATAAGGTTGGAGTTCATCTTTCGGTACTGATTTTTGATCAAGTGAATATCCAGCATAAACAGCTAGAATAGGTATTGCACCAATATCCTCAGCAAATGTTAATAATTCAATAAGACCAAAACCTTGTGTATTGTAACCTGTCCATGTACCTTTTCGACCTGGTCGATATTCGAGAGAACCAATAGTTTTATTCCAAATGAAACGTTCAGAAATAGAATGACCTTCAAGATCATTACCTCCAGGTAATCGAATAAATCCAGGTTTGAGTTCTGCAAAAGTATTGGCAATATCGATACGTGCACCATTCATTCGATTTTTATATGTAGGAGGAAAACATGAAATAAGATTAAATTCAAACTCGCCAGATGATCCTTGAGGAAATTCAATAAAAAAGATATTATTTGATGTAGGAGCAGCATCATGAACAATAATCGAACTTGAAAATTTAGTCCAATTATCCACAAGACCACTAGACACATCAACAATGCTCATACCATATGTGATACGACCAGTCAAATCTCTAAAACCAATGCTTAATTTATTATTTGGTATAAACGCTCCTACTAATGGTTTGTAGAAGAAACTTGAACTGTAAATTTGAACTTGAATCTTGATTCCATAAAAACCAGCATTTATCAAGCCGGAAGGAACGGTTGAGTTTGAGTTGAATAAAAATTTTACATGAGTCGGTAAAGCTTTAGACACAGGCTGATCAGTCGAAAGACTGATCGATCCTTCACCATATATTGACCAACCATCAAGAGATCGACTTTTCTCTAAAATGATTGCAATTATATTAAATTATTCTATTTACAAATGTCTATAAGAAGAAATAAACCAACCTTGAAAAGCACGATTATAGATAAGTTCAGCATATAAACCACCATCATCACCTCTATTAATGTTTGTCTCAAAAATAACACCATGCATTGTTGATGGAATGATTTGACCAGTTGTAGCATCTTCAATCTCGAGATAGACAGTATTTATTTGTGTGTCATTTGAAGTATCACAATTGACAGATATTTTTGCTAACAAAATAGATATCAAACAAACTATCAACAGAAAAATCTAAATACCAATAATACAGGTACACAGATTTCAATTAGAAGAAATGTAATTGTACTTGCTTTCATAAAGAAAAAATTTTGACAAACGCAATTGAGTAAGATATGAAAAGATATTTTTACGAACAAAAAAAAAAATAGTTGTCTATATTCTTATCAAACAGTTACTTGCCATATTTCAATTTGATAAGAATTGCATGTAGACAAAGATAAACAATGCATTTGATTATTGACATCTTTCACATAAATGAATATAATTATTCTAAGAATATAAAATTATTTTGTCAATACTTTGATTGGTTTTTCAACTTTACACACAGTTTCTAATGAGAGAAGGTTCCCAATTGTAACTCGTCAATCGAAATTATGATTTATCTATAAGTAGGCGCCGACGAGACACTAGTAGAAGCTCATACGAAAGTATCTCATGAACCTTAGACTACTTTAGTAATTAACTGATAATTTTGTTTCATTGAAATATATATTCATTTCAAGATAGAGACTAATTTTTTTGTGTTTACATAATAATTATTCAGTCCTAGAATTCTGTCTGAATTGTTGTTCTAATGTAAATGCAATATTGAATAAGAAGACGTCAAGAAATACTATATCGGTACTCATTTAATATAAAGAAAACAATCAGCATCTATCTGATACTCCTAGTAATTGTCGTATAAAAAAGATATTTCTCTTTTGTTTTTATTTTTTTAATCTTTTCTTGATTTTTATAGTTGACGAAATCCATACTCGGAGCTGCACAATATAGTATTTTTTGTTTTATTATTCATAGATGTTACGATAAAAATCTGTTGTTGATTGCTGATACATATCCCAGAAACCTATCAGCAGTATTTTCTGTAATAATGGATGTTTGCATGTAAAGTCCGTTCGCTACAAGTTTGATCGCCATTGATTGTGGTTATTATCTAATTCGCTAAATAAGAAAGGTGGCTATTATAATGAAGAAATTTATTAAACTCATTGTTTAAAGTTTCAGACAATTGTCGGTATGTTTTAAAAAAAAAGTAAATAGGATCAATAATATAGAATTTACTAACAAACAACTGACACTTTTTCGCACAAGCTTTATGCGACGTACTAATGACATTCCATCGTTTTCAAAATATTGTTGGAATAGTTATAGTAAAAACAGTAAAGAATGTGATAGATACATAAAAGATGCGTTGTTCTATGATGAAAATATGGGAAATGTTCTATCATACATGAAAACATTGATCGAAAGCAATTATAATTCTTTTAAAAAAAATAATACCATCGCCTTCATTTCTTTCTTTTCAAAAGGTATAATTGTTGCAATGAAGTCTATTGAAAAGAAGTATAATGGATCAATTTATTTGAAAATTCTACCAGCACATAAACGAAAACGAATAAACTCAATGTGAATCTGACGAAAATGTTTTATTACTATCACTATTAATACGTGTTATAATAGAATAAACAGTTTAAAGAGTAAACGAAATGATCTAATTCATACTTCATTCGATATTCTGTATCTTTGCCTATTACATTTAAAAATTCATATTTTTTATGAATGAAAATATATGAATCGTTTTCTTTATCAAACATATAATAATACCTCTAAGATGGATAGCATAATTTTTCATTTAAAATAAAAATCGCAGTGGATATTCTTCATTGAACAAATTGAAAACTATAACATAAACAATGGATTTTCGAAAATATTTGAACGGTAAACGAAACAGATTCAGCGATATAGTGAGCGATTGGTTATATTTGGTATAGGTTATCGTTTAAATGAGAAAGAAAAATTAACAAAACTTTGTTGATTGAATTGGACTCAAGTTTTATGTGAGAATCAAGTATCGAATAGCTTCTCTTGAAAATATTCAATTAAAAACTGAACGAAAATAAAACTTTGATACGTTATAATATTATTCTTGCTAACAAAACATTATGTAATGAAACATCTTACTGAGGAAAATTTTCTCTTTTTTAAACGATTACTTTGATGATACATTGTCTTTTTATATTTATGAAATACAAAAGTAAATTTTTTTTAAAAATCGTTATATAAAAAATTATGTTACAATAAAAAGAAAAAACTAAAATTTTATAATACATATGTCCAAGGTTTAGGAACATGGTTGTGTTGTCAGAATTGTAGTAAAACTTCTTGTTAGTTTTGCTTAACCAGCTAAAAAAAACGAAAGGGAAATTATTGAATTATAATCTTAAAAGTCAATCATCAAACAAAAATGGTCTAAGTTGTTAGTGAAATCCTTTCCATAGAAATAGTGAACACCGAATTCTATACAAAATTTATCTATTCTGAAATCGATTTACTTACTAGAAGGACAAGGAGATGTTGGTAATTGTATCATATACTTTTGAATTCGTTGATTTGATTGATCAGTAACATATATATTTCCATGTCTATCAAATTTTAAATCTCTTGGACCGCGCATTTGATTAGCAGCTGTTCCTGTTGTACCTGTACAACCCATAATACAGACACCACCAGCTGCATAATTTGTTGTCCATTTTACGACTCTGTTATTTGCGCCGTCGGCCACATATATGTACCTAGTATTTGATTAGTATTACAGTAAACAATGTTCACTAGTTTCTCATGAAATTTATTCTATATTTTCAGTGAATATATATCACTCAACTCCTTCTCATATATCTAAGAATACTCTCAAAAATACTATTGTTCCTATTTGAAATTAGATTTCATACCCGTTATTATCGACAATGACTGATCTGGGAAGGTACAATTGATATAAGCTAGCACCGGCAGTACCATTACCAGCAACAATGGTTCCATTTAGTGACCCAGGAAGATATTTTAGAACACGATGATTTCCACTGTCGGCTACATATAATGAATTATTTGCATCCATAAAATTGCCAAATGGACTAAACAGTTGATTAAGTCCTGCACCCGATGGCCCTCCACCCGCTAAAACTATACCAATGGATGAGTAAGGAATATATTTAACGACTTGATTATTATCAGAATCTGTTACATAGATATTATTATTGACATCAATGTGTAAATCACGCATTTGACCAAGAGGATTATATGAAGTGTTAGAAGCTAATGTAATTCCTATTGTAGAATTCGGCAGAAATTTCTGAATGCGATAGTTGTCACTGTCAGCTACAATGATAGCACCATATTGATCGACAGCAACACCTTTGGGTCCTCTCAGTTGATTCGATTCATTGCCGGCCGTTCCATTGCCCGCGACAATGACTGCAGTGCTTGAATTAGGATATAATTTCAGAATTCGAGAGTTATCCCGATCACAAACATATAGAATATCATCATTATCAATAAAAATACTAACTGGATAATTGAGCGAACCCAAATCATAGCCTATAGATCCATTTTGGTTACCACTAACTGTAGTTCCATTCTCATTCCATGTAGCACATGTTGGAATATTCAATGCATAAATACCAACAGCACTGACTAGAATTAGACAAGCATTCAATTGTAGTGATATGATGAGAGAAAAAGAAACTAGATACAGGTGATTGTAGTCTGAGTAGTTGTTGTTGTGACAGAAGTAGTAGTAGTCGCAGTTGTAGTCGTGGCTGTAGTAGCTGTCGTCGTTGTCGCTGATGTTGCTAGGTAAAAATATTATGAAAACATTGAGACAAGACCTCATTCTTTTTTTTTGATAGTACAATAGTTAAAAAATTCTACGATAATTGTGAAAAATGAATAACTTTTCTTACTAGTTGTTGTAGAAGTCGTCGTCGTTTGTGCATCTCTTACAGCAACATAACAAACAAGTACAATAGCTACAACTGCACTACATAACATAAATGCTGCCATAGTACCTAGAAGTATTTTAGCAATCAAAATCCGATTTGAAGAAGGTCTTGATGCAGTACGTCTGATAAATAAAAAAAGAAACATTCAATTGTTGAAAGATGAAAACTACTGACCGCATTGATCGAATTGATCTGACATGATTTAAATTAGCATAATGTGGTTGATATGCGGGCATTATAATAAAGGAATTTATTAGACTCAAAACTCAAAGTTATAGACGAGTGCTAGTATAGAAAAATGATTAAGATCAATTCTAAAGAATTCACCAACAAGCAACTTATGTTTTTTTGTGTAAACTGAAAGTAAGGTGCTAATAAGATTTCATCGTCTGCAACAATGAATCGCTTGTTGTTGTTGTTTCTTTTTTGTGTATTATTATGTTACATAGTGAAATTTTTTTAATGGATTTATAAGAACATACATGTTTGAATGCTCACAGCAAAAACATCGAGAAAAAAGCAGACATTGTTTCAGCATAAATGAAGACATTGATCAAAATCAATTACCATTTTTTCAACAAAAAAAAACATACTATCGTTTTCATCTCTTTTCTTTGAAAAAATAGAATGGTTGAAATGAAATCCGTACGGGAAGAACGTCAAACAAATATTGAGTACACGATTGTCCGCAAGTAAAGCAATCACATTTTGATAAATTTCAATTTTCATCTCGCTCAAACAAACAAGGGCAAATATTCGAATTCAGGGGATAGATGCATGATTCAATGTTTTATAATGCCTATGAATTTCATTTGAATCGGCTGCATGATTAACATTACTGTAGATGTACGGTCAAAAATAATTTAGTAAGGTACTTACATATGTTATGGGCACTGATCATTATTAATAGCTTAAGCCGGTTGTGTACGAACTGTCAAACTCTGACAGACGTCGCTACCAATCTAACTAGCACATTCAGACTATTCTGAGATAGGCAGCATTGGTGAGATTCCGAATTTTACCCGAACGCGATCGGATCTAGGCTTGAGTCTGAAGATTTCCTGTCCATCGAATACGATTATAGATCTGGAAATTTTCTTCTACGTGGGAGCTAGTCCTGATCTACTGGTCATTCCACATTTGCTACTCTAAAAAGAAAAGAGGCAATTACAACTTGCTTTGATGATAACACCGTCGAGCTTGTCTGAAAAACGTGAAGAGTGTGCTTTTTTAACGAATACAAATGATTGAGAAGACTATTTTGTATCATTGGAACAACTATTAGATACAGGTGAAAATAAGATTCATTGAGAGTACCAAAAATACGCTTCGGGTTCACGTTTCGTAAAATAAACTGAAAGTTCTATTTGTTAACATACTTACTTTAAATTACATGAAGCTTTTAACAGTTCACTCCCTCCTATCAGTCATGAAGTAGATTACAATGCCTTAGAAAAAAAATCCAGTTTCGCAGAATTACAATATACATAATATATTAAATTGTAACTATTTTATTATCTTTTTAAAATCTTTTGCACCGTTTCTTTCGATCATAGAAAAATAAAACATTGAACTACACTTAATGATCGAATAAAATGGCTTTACACGATAGCATGATTACTTTTTGGAGCAAGTCTAAGTTCTATTTTACTCATTTGTGTTGAGTGTTAGGTTGACAAGTCGAATAATGGATGAATTCATATGAAAGTTACAGCAACAGATAAACAAAATTGAATAGACTCAATGCACATCTGATAGAAATTTTGTGTCATTATCAGAATTCATAGGTGTTATAATTATATAAATAGTTTGAAAAATAAACAACATGATTCAAGGCATAATTCATTAAAAATTTCGAAAACACTTGGTAATAAAGATGTATCAATACTAATTAGTATGATTGATAGAGTGGTAATAGTAATATCAAGTAATAGGAATTTATCAGTTTTATTAGGAAGTAGACCGCTCATTCTAGCATTAGGAATGTTGATACTAGTGCTCCTTCATTTGAAAAAGAGAAGCAGGTTATGTGCCGTATTATGATTCCGGCACATAGTTGAGAAATAGTTAGTTTTGATTGATAGTCGTTTAAATGAGAGTGAAAAATTAACAAAAATTCGTTGATTGAATCCGACTCAAGTTTCATTTGAGAATCAAGTGCTGAATAATTTCTCTTAGAAATATTCAATTAAAAATTCAATGAAAACAAGACATTGGCAGATTATAATTTTATGCGTATTAACAAAACATTATGTAATGAATCGTCTTACTGATGAAAATTTCATAGTTTTTCAACGTTTACGTTGTTGATACATTGTATTTTTATATTTATGAAGTACAAAAGTAAACTTTGTTTTTTTTTTACAAATCTTTTTATCAAAACGACATGAAAATTTGTAATGTCTTTTTCGCCAGAATTGTAGTAAAACTTCTTGTAAGTTTTGCTTAGCCAGCTAAAAAAAACGAAAGGGAAATTATTGAATTAAAATCTTCAAAGTCAATCATCTGAAAAAAAGATCTAATTTTTTAGCAAAATTCTTTCCATACAAAAAATGAAGACCGTATTCTATGCAAAGATTATCTGTTCTGAAATTGATTTACTTACTAGAAGGACAAGGGGATGTTGGTAATTGTATCGTATATTTCTGAATTCGTTGATTTGATTGATCAGTAACAAATATATTTCCATGTCTATCAAATTTTAAATCTCTTGGACCACGCATTTGATTAGCAGCTGTTCCTGTTGTACCTGTACAACCCATAATACAGACACCACCAGCTGCATAATTTGTTGTCCATTTTACGACTCTGTTATTTGAACCGTCAGCCACATAGATGTACCTAGTATTTAAATAGTGAAACTTAGAATGTTAAATTTTAGATTCTCGTTGTAGAAACTATGTGGTTTAAAAGCTATTTCATAGGTGGTGTTTTAATGAGCAAGAAAAAATTTTACTAATATTATTTGATTTATCAACTTCCAGATCGAATACGCCCATTGAAGTCTTCTTTGCTCCAATAATATGTATCAATGTATAGTCTCTCAATTCTTCTCATGGCTCGTTATTAAAATGAGTCTAAAATATATTCAAAAAAACGTTTTTGATGAAACATCTTCTATCACGATATTGCAGTGGAATTTCAATATTTTTATAAGAAACAATAGTCATCGTGACCGATTAGATTGAAATTCTGCTAAATTAATCATCCATTGATTAATGACATATTGAATGCCCAAGGTTTTGTCCTTTTGATTCATTTTAAACCCTATTCTTTTACTTTTAGATTAGCTTCTATCTTATTTTCTCCGCTTGGTTTTTAGAAAGGTCACGACCGTACGTGATTAGTGTCATCTTGGATTTATGCACTTTGGTTTTGTCGATTTCATTTTACTGAACAAGGTCGTAACCCATCTCTATAAAGAGCAACTCTATCGGACCATGTATTGATAAATTATCAAAATAGTTATAATTAAAATATTTTTTATATGAAGTTGTTTTAAATAAAATAATTAATAGTAAAACAAAACTATATAATGACATTGTATTTTCTTTGTATAGACTTATTTGAAATCAAACATTCAACAATCAGTGAATAAAATGAATTAAAACAAAACTCTATTAAGCATCTTGGAATGTCCCTTGAAAAGCATTGCATTATACAGAGTAAATTACAGAGCCCTATTCTGAGTTCTTCGTTCTGAGCTAATACGTATTGTTACTAAACTGCCAAGAAACTTAAGATCAATCTTTGTTTTTTTTTCTGATTGTTTCACGAACTTATTTTCTTCTGAGCTTTTACTTTCTAACAATTTTTGTGAATTAACAAGAAAGATTGTAGTCACATATAGATGAATGCCGTGATGAATCAGGCAATTTCATGCTGTCAGTCGGAAGAATATCTGAATCATTAGAATAAGTTTCGTTGAAATTATTTCTTTAATAAAACAAAATCTAACACTTCTACGTTTTTGGAACACAGTTTTACGCAATAGCTAACTTTGAGAGACACATTTTACCTCAAATCTTTCAAGAAATCAGTTTAGATTAGTATAATGGTAAGCGACTATACCAAAACAGATGGACTAGTTCTCATGGCCCTGTATGGTGGTCTACGGTGTTCATATTTTTTATGTGGCATTTGCAATGAAACCCGAGAGCAAGTTTTAATTGCACTAGTTTTTCCTCTTACTGTCTTAAATACAAACAACTACGATGATATATGGATACAGGAATTGCTCACTTATTCCTGTAAGAACGCATATCGAATTAATCGATCCTATTCATCAGCAAAATAAGAATTCGAACACTCGTCTTCACTAAAGTTATATCACTTAAGTGCTTCTTATATATCTAGGAATACTTTCAAAAACACTATTGTTCCTATTTGAAACTAGATTTCATACCCGTTATTATCAACAATGATCGATCTGGGAAAATTCAACTGATATAAGCTAGAACCAGCAGTACCATTGCCAGCAACAATAGTTCCATTTAATGACCCAGGAAGATATTTTAGAACACGATGATTTCCACTGTCGGCTACATATAATGAATTATTTGCATCCATAAAATTGCCAAATGGACTAAACAATTGATCAAGTCCTGATCCCGATGGCCCTCCACCTGCTAAAACTATACCAATGGATGAGTAAGGAATATATTTAACGACTTGATTATTATCAGAATCTGTTACATAGATATTATTATTGACATCAATGTGTAAATCACGCATTTGACCAAGAGGACTATATGAAGTGTTAGAAGCTAATGTAATTCCTATTGTAGAATTCGGCAGAAATTTCTGAATGCGATAATTGTTACTGTCAGCTACAATAATATTACCATATTGATCGACAGCAACACCTTTGGGTCCACTCAACTGGTTTGTTTCATTCCCAACAGTTCCATTGCCCGCGACCATGACTCCAGTGGTTGAATTAGAATATAATTTCAGAATTCGAGAGTTATCCCGATCACAAACATACAAAACATCATCATTATCAATAAAAATACTAACTGGACCGCTGAGCGAACTTAAATCATAACCTATAGATCCATTTTGATTACCACTAGTAGTAGTTCCATTCTCTTGCCATGTAGCACATGTTGGAATATTCAATGCATAAATACCAACAGCACTGACTAGAATTAGACAAGCATTCAATTGTAGTGATATATGATGAGAGAAAAAGAAACTAGATACAGGTGATTGTAGTCTGAGTAGTTGTTGTTGTGACAGAAGTAGTAGTAGTCGCAGTTGTAGTCGTGGCTGTAGTAGCTGTCGTCGTTGTCGCTGATGTTGCTAGGTAAAAATATAATGAAAACATTGAGACAAGACCTCATTCTATTTTTTTTTGATAGTACAATAGTTAAAAAATAATCTTGCGCTATTTGGAGTTTCTTTCGTTATGCAAAAATGTATTTTGCTTTGACTAGACTCGATAAAGGATAGATACTGAAACAGTGTTCTCTATGAGATGTACATAATATGATTGATCAAGCATCTTACAGATCAGAACTTCAAATAAACTGGGATTAATTCAAATTAACTTTGCCAAGGACATGGGCTAAGAATTTGTGAAAGAATAATCGTGAGTTGGCCTAGGCTTTGACAATGATAACCGTGACTATAGTCATATTTCACTTATAAGAACTCTTCAAGTGAAACTGACAGAAATATTCAATTGAAAATGTGATATTCGTTTCACTAAATTAATGGTCCTCTTGTTTGTATATGCCAAAACTGGGTCTTGTTCGATCAAATAGCATGTGATTATAAAACGAAAGGAATAACGCCGTGGCAAATCTCAAATGATTACCAGTTTTCACGAAATATTTGATCAGCGATGCCTATTCTTTGATGAAAGATATGAATGTGGCTAGCGATCGGTGTCAATGCTCTTCTCATACTCAAACATAGTATCAACACTCATGCGGACACTCACTTGTTTCATGATGGAGATATTATATCATCTATGTAAGATAAGCTAAAAGGCAGAAATGTGTTATATCTTACTTTATTCAATTAGTGATTTACTGTTTATGAAGACTGAAATATAATTCGTGCTCATTTGTCTTTATAATATTAGCATTAGCAAAAAACATATTCTACGATAATTGTGAAAAATGAATAACTTTTCTTACTAGTTGTTGTAGAAGTCGTCGTCGTTTGTGCATCTCTTACAGCAACATAACAAACAAGTGCAATAGCTACAACTGCACTACATAACATAAATGCTGCCATAGTACCTAGAAGTATTTTAGCAATCAAAATCCGATTTGAAGAAGGTCTTGATGCAGTGCGTCTGATAAATACGAAAGAAACATTCAATTGTTGAAAGATGAAAATTACTTACCGCACTGATCGAATTGATCTGACATGATTTAAATTAGCATAATGTGGTTGATATGCGGCCATTATAAGGAAGGAATCTCTTAGGCTCAAAACTCAAAGTTTCAGAAGACTGCTGGTGTTTTTTTTTTTTACAAAAATGATTAAGATCAATTTTAAAGAATTCACCAACAAGCAACTGATGTTTTTTGTGTAAACTGAAAGTAAGGTGCTAATAACACTTTATCGTCTGCAAAAGTAAATTGCTTGTTGTTGGTTTTTGTCGCCTGTAGTCTTTTACAAAATGAATTTTTTTAAATTGATTTATAAGAGCATACATGTTTGAATGCTCACAGCAAAAACATAAAGCGAGGAATGCATAATGAATATGCTGTTCGATGATGAAAGTATCGAGAAAAAACATATAGAACGACTATTTTATCATAAACAAAAACATCGATCAAAGTCACTTAGCATTTTTCAACAAGAAAGAGCACCGTCGCTTGCAATTCTTTCTTTTCAAGAAATATAATTGTTGAAGTGGAAATGATTTGGAAGAACAGCAAACAAGAGAATGAGAATAATGAATGAATGTTGTTTTGAAAATATGACCAACGAATGAATGAAAGTAAACAAACTCATGAAGATAACTTCTTTCGCTGCTTCCTTTCGATTTCAATGTTTTTTTTTTACCTAAAGTTACTGCATAGTATTCTAACAAAAATCCTAAAAGAATTAGGGTTCCAATCACTATATGACTTAGTTATCAAATCTTTATTATGTCTATGTCTCAGAAGTCTCTGTAACATATCGAAATTTTAAAAGATTTATATCTTCGAATTGTGATCTGGAATTTTGTACATATAAAGAACTCAACTATACAATAAAAAAAAGTCACAATAACAATGTATTTGATGATTATCGAAAAAGTCAACGTACAATTGTGAAAGCTCAGTCATTATGGCACAAGATAGAATTTTTCATGAATTGGTAATTAAATCAGACCGATAAATCAAATCTCATTACTGATTGCGAATCGTGAATTAATTAAAGATATATTCCAAGTGTATAAAATTAAGAATCAACTATAATTTCTATATATTTTTTAAATACAATCATTGGGATTTGAAGCCAATAGAAAAATTTAGCATCGACAATATTAGACAACGATCGAACTGTTTTTTTGCATTCATATTCATTTACATCAAAAGATATTTTTGATTAATATAAATAATTTCAGATATATTATAATTCAAAACATTAGTGTATATATATATATAAATGTTTTTCCTCGCTTTTCGATTATATTCTCATTTAATTATGTGAAATTGCGTACAACATCATCCATTTTTTTTAATTTTTATTAGATGCTTCATTCATATAGAATAAAACTATACACTATCATAAATTATGTAGCGATGTGTTACGATTAATCACGACTTATTTAGCAGTTTCGAGAATACAGAAGAGTAGAGAAAATATTATACAAATTTTTCTTAGGCAGTTTTTACGATACGAAAAAAATCTTATTCTACACATCTTCAAACGACACTTTGTAATAGAAAAAAAAATGTGCAAATAAAAATAAAAGAAGTTGGAAAAAACCAAGTGTTGCCATTTGTCAATACATCTTAGTCGTCAATGACTTAATTTATACGTTTTAAAAGTAAATGCATTCAATGAAAATTAAACGAACTTTTCGTAAAGTATAACAATGTAATTTTGTAATCGTCAACGTATTTACTCAATTTTTACAATTGAAATAGCAATCATTAGTCGTCGTTGTTCTTTTCTAGTTTATTTGTTCATTATTTATTATACTAGCTTTCAAATATGAAGCGTTTGATAATAAAAGAAGAAATAGATGAATCAAAAAATGTTTTTACGTTTAATACAGATGAAGATTTAACAATAACATGGTTCGATGATAAAATTGATGACGAGATAAAAACTATGTTAGAACAATCACATGATCATGTACAAATTTGTCATTCATTTGATGAAATAATTTTAACTATAGATAATATTAGAAATGAAAAAATTATTTTAATTGTTGCCGGTCGATATTCTCGTGAAACATTATTTCGAATTCATGATAACGATAGAATTGATACAATTTATATATTTTGTTTAAATATGTCCTTATATCAAGATCTAATTGATGAAAAAAAATATTCTAAACTCGTTGTTATTTATATAGAATATACAACTTTATTTAATATTTTAATACAACAAATTCATTTAATATTAAAACATTTATCAATATTCAATTTATTTAATCATACTGATAAACCAATACTAGATTTAGAATATGAATCTAGTAACTATTTATGGTATTAATTATTTCGTGATATATTAATGACAATGCAAACAGAAAATGAACAATGTAAACAACAATTAATTGATTATTGTCGATCATATTAACGATTAAATAAAAAAAAATTGGAAGAAATTGATATATTTGAACAAACATATGTATCATCTGATGCTATACGTTGGTATACAAAAGATTCTTTTTTATATTGTTTTGTTAATAAAGCTTTAAGAACTGAAGATATTGAAGCATTATTTCGTTTAAGATATTTTATTAAAGATATTTGTAAAAATTTAATATTATTATTTGATAAAAATTTTGAAATATATCAAGATTCACTTGAAGCAATAATAGTTTATCGTGGTTTAACATTACCAATTAACATTATTGATCAATTGAAACAATCTGTTGGTAAATATGTTTCAACAAATGGATTTTTATCTACTACTTTTAAACGAGATGTTGCAGAAATGTTTGGTGCAAATGTTATTTTCGAAATAAAAATTGAAACTGATTTAAAAAATATTATTTATGGTTACATAGCAAATATGAGTTATAATCCTTCAGAAGATGAAGTTTTATTTGATCTTGATGCTATATTTCAAATAATAGATATTCAATATAAAGATAATAAATATATTATATCAATGATTGGTATTAATAATAATATTGAATATTTAAAAAGTGACTATTTTCAAATAGAAAGAGAATATTTACAAGATAATTTAATTGATAATATTCTTTCAAATATAAATGCATATTCATTTTTTTGGTAAATTTTTATTAACAATCGGTTCAAATAAAAAAGCAATTGAGTATTTTGAAGAATTATATAAAAATAATCTTTCTAATAATAATGATAATGTATTAAAGGAATATGAAACATATATACTTACTGGAAATTTAGCTGATGCTTATGCTCAAAATGATCAATATGATTTAGGATTAAAATATGCACTTATTTCTTATCAAATACATAAAAATTTTCATAATAATTATTCAGTATCAATAGTAGTTAGTTTATTAAGAATAAGTTTAATTTATTTAATTAATGAAGAAATTCAATTAGCTTTTGATTATATTCAACAAGCATTTCAAAGTCTACCAATGAATGTTAATTCTCAATTACTTGCTCCAATGTATTTATGTCTTAGTAGATGTTATTTAAAACAAGAAACTTATTCTGAAGCTTCAAAATATTGTCAAAAATCATTAGAAAAATTTAACTGAAACAAAAAATAGTATTGCACTTAGTGAAACACATTATACCCTTGCTGAAATTTATCAAAAACAATGCAATTATAATATGACTATTGAACATTATGAAAAATCTTTATTATTTCAAAAGAATATTTATTCAAATTATCATCCATTACGTATACGAACATATTTTAAGCTTGCTGAAATCTACAACATAATTGAAAAATATGATTTATCAATTGATTATTACTTAGAAATATTAAATAATAAACCATTTAATGATGAAAATGAACAAATTGATATGTTACATAATCAGCTGATATGTTGTTATCTTAAATTAAAACAATATGATTTAGCTATTAAACATGCTAATCTTTCATTAAGAATTAGTGAAAAATCATTAGATATAGAAAGAATCGAATTATCATATATGTTAATGAATGATATTTTCGAAAAACAACAAAAATATGATTTAACTCTTGAATGTTATGAAAAATTAGTTAAAAAGTCAATTGAATATAATAATTATGAAATCATGAAAAAAGCACGTTCAAAATATATATCAATTATGACATATTTGATTATTGAAGAATATGAGAGAAACTTCGAAAACAATATGAAAATTTTGTCTGAATTTTATGATAAATACTTATTTAATGAGAATTTTTTTATCTTTAATGATTTTCAACAAATAATTTTGTCGATATCATTAATTTATCTAAAATTGAAAAAGTTTTCTTTAGGTATTGAATATTTGCAAATAATATTAACAAATATTGAAAAACTATCAAATAATCATGATAAATATCGAATTATATTTTATTTAAATTCACGAATAGCATGGTTTTATGAAAAAGATGAAAAATATAATTTAGCTATTAGTCAATATAAAATAATTTTATCAAAAATAGAAAATCTTGATAATCACGATTTAACAGTTTGTATTATTGATGAAGCACTACAATGTTATGAATCTATTGGTCAATTATATTATCAATTAAATGAATACAATTTAGCGATCGAAAATCAATTAGAAGGATTAGAATTAATTAAAACAACAAATGATAATAAATATCAACAAGAAATATATGATTTTAATTATAGAATTACAAATTGTTATGTCGAATTAGAAAATTTTGATTTAGCTCTTATTCATTATAGAAAATGTGTAGAAATTGAAGAAAAAACATCTATTAGTGTCGAAGAATCTGATGAGAGTCTTTATATGTATGAATGTTTTGGTAACTTCGATTATGAAAATAAACAATATGATTCGGCTATTGATTCTTATAAAAAAGCTTTAAATATATTACAAACAAATGATGATCCCGAATCATCAATATCTATTGTTAAATTCAATTATAAAATTGGTTGCTGTTATAATATGCAACAAAATATGGTTTTATTTATTGAACATTTTAAAATAGCTTTAGAAATTCAAGAAACTAATCAATTTAATTATGATAATGTACAAACCATGGATATGAATTTTCAATTAGGATGGTATTATCAACAAAATCAAAAATATGATTTAGCTATTGAATATTTTCAAAAAATGTTGAATATTCAAGAAATTTTAAATATTGATGATAAATCTTATTTTGCTGATTTATATATTCGTATTGGTAAATGTTATGAACAAAAATCAATGTCTGATTTATCTCTTAAATTTTATGAAAAAGCTTTAGAATTATATAGGACAATTATTGAACTCAATAGTTTAGAAGAGAAAAAAATTACTGATATACATTGGAGAATCGGTAAAATCTATCGAAATCAACAAGATTGGAATTTATCTATAGAATATTATCAAAACAGTTTAAAATATCTAAATATTTTGAATACAAAATTAGTCTTTGATCTATATTCTGAAGTAGGATTCTGTTATCAACAAATATCTAATAGTGAAATCATGACTATTAATTATTATAAAAAAGCAATTGATATTAATCCATATAATAATTCAAAAATAATTGAATTCTATTATCAAATTGGTATTTGTTATCAAAAAATAAACGATGTCACTAGTGCTATTCAATATTTTAAAATCGCACTAGAACAATTAAATGAACAAGCAGACAAAGATTTTGTTCAACTAGTTGATATACATGCTCAGATTGGTTTTTGTTTTTGTGATATAGAAGATTGGAATTCATCTATGGATCATTGCTTATTGGCATTTGAAATATATCGAAATATAAAGATGTATAATACTGCTCTTATTTATCGTTTATGTATAACTATTGCTCATTGTTTTGGTCAAAATGATATGTATAATTTAGCTATTGAATATTTTGAACAAGCGCTAAAAATTCAAGAAGATGAAAATAATCATAATAGTGACAAAAAATTTGAAATTATTCATTTAAATAATCAATTGGGATATTGTTATTTTATGTCTAATCAATATGATATAGCTTATCATTATTATGACAAATCTATTGAAACAGCTAAAAATTCATCATGTTATACCCGACATTTTTCTATAATTGATAATTATGAAATGTTTGGATATATTTATGCATATTATCATAATAAAATTCTTGCTAGTAATTGTTTCAACAAAGCAATAAAATTATTAGAATCAACAGAACCAACTGACATAGTAAAACTAAGACGTATCCGAAATTCATTAACAAAACTACAATACAACAACAATATTGTTATGATTGATATGATCAGATTATTAATTATTCAAATATAAAATTGATCAAAATATCAATTATATTAATAAAGACATTGTCTTCTTTTTTATTTTCCCAAAAAGAAAAAGTTAGATTTGATTGTTGAATAGAGAAAAATCAAAATCCGGTCACACTGCATTTTGCCTTAAAAATCGCTTTTCTGATAGAAAGAAAATAGGTAATTTATTGCTCGAATTGTCTATAATAAACCGCTGCATACAAGTTCGACTGTCAGTTCTTTCTATTGAATCCTCGATAGGAAGAAGATGGAGAGCTGTGACTTTCATCGTCGGAAAGAGAAGTCTTCAGAGTATTGCAGCATATCAAAATCTGATTGGTCAATAATTGACCGATCAGAGGAGTACTTCATGGATACTTCCCATTCAATAGGACAAATTCTTCTATGTCGTCTACATAAGACCGACATTCCTAGCTTGTTCCATGCAAGAGTTAGAAGACTTTGTCTAAGACTCGTGATTTGAGTCAATGGGCTTAGGGAAAACTAGCTGACCATGTTGAATCGAATAGTGATATGTGTTTTTAGGTTCAAACAGATCTGACGCTATTATCTCAATATTCCTGCAATGTCGATTCCATCGTTACAGCGGTAGATTCCTTTTTCTAAGTCAATTGACTGAAATCAGGTATCTTAGGACGTCTTATAACTCTTGAACGAAACAAGCTAGGAATGTCAGTCTTATATAGATCAAAAGGGAAGCATTTTTTTTTCTATCGAATAGTCGTCATAAAAATAAAAATAAAATCAGAAATGCTTTTAGAATGCCATTTTCAAAATATCTACGAAGTACTCATTTGATTGACTGACTGTTGACTAGGGAACTGCAAAATCACTTTTTTTAGTCCCGGTCCCGGTCTCGGTCTTTGACAATGGCTTCATTTCTAAAATCGAGCAACCTTTTTTTACGATCTGTTTACTTTTATGAATACATAAAATTGACATGAATGATTTTGATTCGTTAACAGTACGAAAATTCTTTTGTATCCAGTGTTAAAGTGAAAGAATTTCACTAAAAGCTCGAATAAATAAAAATAACCATTGAATTTTGTTAAAAATTCTTATGTACTTCGTAGCAGTCATTTACTTATTTCTCTCTTCTTTTATATCTACTGCTCTACCTAATGGATTTATTATCGAATTGATTATTTATACTGAGTAGCTATTACGATTGTCAAAAGAAAAATAAATGGCGACACATATCTATTTACTATTATCTGATAAGACTTAAATAAAAGAATCATCAAACAATGAACGAATTAAATTTACGTATATAGTGTTGTGTTGGTTGTTTTATATGTATTCAAAAACCTGTGCAATTGGAAAACTCAGATTCTTGCAAACAGACTCGTAATCAGTAAAGACTTTTATACACATAGCAAATAAAAATATCTGATTTACAGATCTTTAATATTGTCAAAATAATAGTCGTGAAAATATATTGCATAAAAACTGACCGGGACCAGTGTGCAAAAATTTTTAGCCCCGATCTCGGTCCCGGGACCACTTTGCAGTTCCCCACTATTGACTAATCAGATTTTGATACAGCGCGATACTTTCAAGAGTCCTCTTTCCAATGGTGAAATTTGCAACTCACTATCTTTTTCCTATCGAAAGTTCTTTAGATAACTATAGATTTTACTAGAGAAAAGTTTTTACAATCCAGTTTGAGTACACTAGATAAAGCTGCTAAACACATTGATTCTATTGACTACGAATTCTAATGGATGATGAGAAAGTTTCTAGATAATATACTAGTTCAGTTTTGATTCATTTATATGGATTTCATATGAATTTTAAACTATAGACTATGTAGAACTAGGGTATTGTGTTCTTTCTCACTATGTGTTTACAAAATGTACTGTGTGTTTTTGTTACGAAATAGTAAGAAAATCCTTGCAAAGCCTGAAATTTACTTTGTACAATGTCTTTTTCCAAACTGCTATAAGCCTCTTTATAAGAGTGTTAAACATGGTCGCATTTGACCGTTTTGTAGGAAGGATTTTTCTTTTAAAAAATAGTATTTGTAAAAAAAACAATTTTTTCTGTTCAATAATAAGTATGTACGAAACACAAAGGAAAATTGAGATGTTTTCATAAAAGACAAGGAAAAAATACCTTGAATAGTATTCTTTTTTATATAGTAGGTTTTGGCAAAAAATTTCGTCCAAACAAATTTGAATTTTTTTCTTTCTACTTTCAAACAAAACTTCAGAAATAATATCAGAGATAATATTTTCAAGTGAATCAGAAATAAACAAAGATTTTTTTGAGAACTTTGCTATTACTGGTAAGTCAGGCTACAAACACATTATTCTAAATATAAATAATAAGGAATTTCACTATCCGATAATATTCTCAAATCAAGGTTGAAATTAACCATGACTACTTACTGCAGTTATATTTTTAGGGACAATCTTGTTTTATCGATGAGACTTAACGAAAAACGAAAAATAATACAAATTCTATTTGTATAACTATGATGACAAATACATCACATAATCAGCATTGTATTGACAGATGAAGTTATGACTAAATAATCATATCCCTAATATGTGTAGCATTTTCCTCATATGAAAATACGACTGATAAGGTATTTTATAGATATTGTGAAATACAGCAATTTTGTTAATATTAAATTTTTGATATCAATACAAGTGTTTAAGCATAGGTCAAGGTATTTCAGTTCAAGTTCGTTGTACTTTAACTCTGAATGACGGTTGAATATTATCATATAACTATCTATATACGTAAAAAGAAATAAATCGAATGTAATTAACTATGTTTGATCTAAGCTAATTTTTGATTCTCATCTCCTTTGACAATTCTAGAATAGCCAGGTTCGTTTTTGATAAATGTGTTCCATTGACAAAATTATACTATTTCATATGTTGACTAGATAATGGTAAAAGTCGAAATTTCATCGAATGTTGTTTGTCATACTTATGATAGAAAGAAGTTTACACTGATAAGATTTTTATCATTGTTACAGGTATGAAAAAAAGAAAGAAAAAATCCAAAAAAAAAAGATAACATTTGCTGTTTTCTCTTATGAGTTGACATGAAACAAGTTACGTATCAACCGAACTTTAATTTAGAATGACTTTGAACCTTGTTTCATTCATATAAAATGGACATTCAATAATACAAAATTCTTCAATGAAAAGTTTAGAAAGTAAGGTGGCAATATCTTAGACTAAGAAGATTTGACTACACAAGCATTTGTTTCAAGCATTATTACTTATTTTGATTGTTGTCTTTTTTTCATTTGCTTTGAGATAATCTATTCATTGCGTAGTAATTCAAATTATTCGTTATTCAATATGACTACTGAGAAAGGAACACGAAATCTTCAACAACGTATTTCACGCATCACAGATATGACTGAAGGATTTTACAACACATTCTCAACTATAAATGACTACCAAGAAATGCCACTTGTCCCACTCGATATTGCTATAGAACCATTAATATTTTTATTACCTAATATTGAGAATTGTGCAGTACATGCTATAGAACAATGCAAAAATCCACCTGCAGATGGACTTACAAAAGATATGTCTGGTGCAATCCGACTCTATTCGATGGAAGAACAGTACCAAGGTGAACCTCTATATGCTATATTGAACCGTATTCTACGGACAGAAGATAGACAACAACTTAAGCCATGGCTATTCTATCTTAAACTATTACATACTGCACTTTCACGACTTCCATCCATTCGTCAAGTTGCCTATAGAGGAGTCAAATTAGACTTAAGTAACGACTATAGCACTGCGAAAAAAGTGACATGGTCAAGCTTTTCATCGTGCACTGGCTCAACTACTGTTTTACAGTCAGAACAGTTTTGTGGCATGACGGGTCCAAGAACAATATTTACTATCGATTGTTGTTCAGGCAGAAACATTCGTAATCATAGTCATTATCCATTCGAAGAAGAAATACTTCTTCTTCCTGGAACTGAATTGGAAGTTACTGGTTTCCTGAAACTAGCTGACAATATTCACATGATTCAACTAAAAGAAATTGAAGCAGCTCGTCTTTCATCGTCACTACTACCTCCTCGTGATTTCATCAAGTCAAACTGGGGTAAGAAAAAGTGCATAAAACTTTTTCAATATCTATACGTCGAATTAGTTATTCTAGAAAAGTTCATTTCATTAGTGAAGATGTAAATTAACAAAATGTTAAAATATTTTGTCGTAAAGTAGTATGTGATTTTTTTTTCAAATTCGAATTGTGTCCAATATTGACTTTTGTAAGAGATGCTTAGAGTTTAAATATCAAAGATACAATACAATACAATATCAAATGTTATACAGGGTGTAAAAAAACCATTACGCCCC